CAGAACAAAAGTTTGCCGCTAAATTTCTGTTCGCTTACCTTGCCAGCTGTTGAACAACAACAATAGAGAGATAGAGAGCGGTCACACACAGAGAGAAATACAGAGACTGAAATTGAGAAAGAGAGAGAGAGCGGTAGCGGGAGCGGGAGCGGGAGCACAGACAACAACTTCGCCAAGCCCGACTCATACCTGGGGACTGGCTCCGGTTCCCCACTCACGGCATTCGCGTTCAAACCTTTGCGTCGCGTGGTGCGCTTTGCTTTGATAAAACAACTGCAACTGTTTTGTACTAAGTATGTAATGTAATGTACGATACGAGAGTGTCGCGGAGCGCGGCCGATTAGTTTACTGAGCGGCCAGCGCAGCATCGCATCGGACCCGACCGTAGTCGTTGAAGCGAAAACTGTGAAGGGCAGGCAGCAGCCATAGGGCAGCCCCAAGCCTTGTCCCAAAACTGAAAACTAAAACTGTTTGAGTGTTCTGAGTGTGTATGTGTGTGCTGCGATCGCTGTGCACTCCTAGTGGGTCACTGGAGCGTGCGATATGCCCAAAGCGGCGAGAGAAACATGCGACTCATGCGCTAGCTCCGAGCCAGCGAAAATAATGTCAGTGGAGGGCTCCGGTGGCTTGGGTGACGGCTTAAAAGGGTGGAGGTGTACGGACAGGTGTCAATGTCAGTCGAAAATGCCGTTTGCTTAGCATTGAAAACCTTTGCACAGCAGCGAAAACGAGCACCGGGAACACAGAGTGGAGTCCGCGAGTGTGAGTGTGAGTGTGAATGTGAGAAATGGCAACAGTTTGCTCAACCCGTGCACTTCCGCTGGAACTCAATCATTTCCATTGATTTTTGAGTGTGTTTGGACTTTTTTCACATTATTTTCTTGTTAGCCATGGCTGTGAAAACAACTTTTACAGAGAAAAAAAAGCCATTTCACCCGTAAATTGAAAACGAACAAAAGCCGAGTAACAACGCCGAAGAGGAAGAATGGGAAGCAGGAGGGGCAAGAAAGAAAGAGAGACAGATAACCAAAACCAATCGGACGGCATCGGTTAACAGTATTAAAGCAGCGACTGGACTGGCGTCTGTGGGGCCAACTTCCGTTCGTTTAAGCAGATTGTTGGTGGTGCTTCTGTAGCTGTTGTAGTGGGAATTCCGCTAGGTGAAAAGGGGGAGTGGAATGGAAACCTCGTGGTACACCACGAAAAAGACACATAAAGTAAGGCCCGAAGTTTTGAATACTCTTGTGGATCGATCATATGATCATTTATTAACACAAATCCGGATAAAAAGACGGATGATCGGAAGTACAGTGTTTCATGCGTATTCATAGAAGTACCCTCTGGAAGGGTATATGAATACATATATGTACATATATACAAAGAAAAGCATCGCATCATTGGCATGGAGTGGCTCCTCTGACTAATTTCCCAATGAATCGGCAGTTGAGTTGCGGCTGCGCCCTGCGGCTCTGCCCCTTGTCTGTGTATGTATGTGTGGTGCCACCAGCAGCGGCAATTAAAGCTGGAAAAGAGTGTGAAACCGTTAGTAAAAGTTACATTGATACCTCGGAAGACACTGACTGCTGTGGGCCTACTTCCAGCCCCCTCGCGACGGTGGGTGCCAGAGCCACATCAATCATGTGGCAAATATTTAAACAGGAAAAAATGCAGTCATAATTAATTGAGAGACTCCTTGAGACTCCGGAAGGGGCACGGGTGACGTGACGGTGACCCATTTGCCGGCGACCCAATTGCATTCGAAATCGTTGTTTAATTAGTCAGCAGATTAGTTACTGTAACAACTTAATTCGACATGCCATGCGAATGCGGCAAACAATTGTGTGAAAATTGCACAAAACTATCTCACGGATACTCAGAGATACGGAGGGAGGAAGGTGCACACGGGTAACACTGTAGCATTGAGCAATGCACTTGGATTCGAAATCAATTTCTGTTGACCAACTTCAACAAAACTGCAGCCGACTGAAAATGATATGCAAAACGGATTTGGACTTGGATTTGGATTGGGAATCGGCTTTAGAGCGGGGAAGTGTTGAAACTTGCAACTTGTCCGGGCTAAATGCATTTTTAATTGCTGCATTGTTTGAAAAATGCACATCATGCTGTTGCACGGGCCAAAATGACCCCTCCTCCCCCCGTTCGACCAAATCAGCAGCAAATCCCATTCAGAGAATTTCAACATTTGGCGTTTTCACCAAACACGAAATTTCTATGGCCAAGACCACTTTTGCTGCCTGCTGGCTGGTTGGCTGCTGGTGGACACTGAACAACAAGTGCGCCGCTGTCAGCTGGGCCGAAATGCGATACGGAATCGTAATCATCTTGTTTCTCGGTTCGACTCGGTTCGGTCTGTCTAGTCTGTCTTTCTGTCTGCCTTTCTGTCCACAGTCAGCGTTTCATGTCATCCATTTAAGTGGCCAACAAACCCGAGCTTGACTGGAGCTGCCCAAGAATTTCTCTTTTCGAATTTTGTGGGATTTTTGCCTCGGGGCTTTGCCAAATAATTGTACACACACACTCGTCAGGTTGATTTGATAGAAGATGCTGTCGAAGATGAATGGCTGGCCACGCCGCTCAATCCGCAACATACTAAATCCATGGATGAGCTTTGTTGCCGTGTTGGGAATCACTCTCTCCCTGGCCAACACCGTCACATGGCCCAAATCGATGCACTCCCCGAAATTACCAAATTAATTGGCCCAAATACGAATACGTGCCCCGTCCAAGTGCTGGCAATTTACATATTTGGGCGTGCGGGCCAACAGAGCCGGGAATGCATATTTCATGCGAGTATTTCTTATTGGGTGCAGCAGATTTCAGTACGGTTTCGATGGTGACAGACAGACAGACAGACAGACAGATAGAGAGAGAAGGGGAGATCTATATCTGTGTCAGACCAACGCACAGGCAACACCAGCAGTGACGCCAGGGCCTTTGAATTGGGGGGATGATGGGCCCAGCGTTCTGGCTCTGAAGAATCTGGCAATCTGGTTATCTGGTTATCTGGGCTGCCGGGCTGGGGGCGAGAAGTTCGTTATCTTCTGCTGAAATTTGTTTATGGGTCTCTCCTCGTAAAAATAAACCGAAATTCCTTTGATTGCAGTACGAAACCGAACGCTCACAGGCACACACAATACCCCCGCACCGCCTCCGATGGCAAGACTTGAATTTGTGTATCGCGGGACCTGATAAGCTGCTCCATAAGCAGCGTTTTCGTGCTTTGGAGCCCCCAAGTCAAAGGCAGTTGAGGCCCGCTTCCAGGGGCAAAACAATGGCGGCATCTGGCGCGTAATTAACACACAAAAAGCAAAAGTCAAAAAGTAACAAACGAAACAAAACAAATTTGTTTTGGCAAAAGTGTTTCATGTGCGCGACAATTGCGAAGAATGAGATACGATACGATACCCGTGCATCCCATCCCATCCCATCGCGTCCCGTGAGAGTGCGTGTGGCGTGAGTGCGGAAATGGCCTAAGGCCTGTGAAAAGCGCGAGAAAATCACAAAGAAATCGTTCCGTACCAAACCAAAAACAAACACCAAACACCAACGAACAACAAGCGTCCACATGGCAGGCGAATCCCCAGCAAGCAACAGCTCCGAGACCAGTCCTGTCCAGCGGCAGTTGAACGGCAGCGTGGACAGTGGCATAGCCGTGCTGGAGGTGCTGGAGGTGGAAACGCCGACGCTCAGGCGGCGCCAGCGGCTGCAGCAGTGCCAGCGCATCCTCCAGGTGCTGCAGCGAGACCATTCCACCCACAGGCTGCTGCGCGATAGATTAAGGTGAGTATTTGCTCCCAGAACGGAAGCAGCTGAAGCTGCAGCTGCAGCCGAGGTGGGGCTCGGCTTGGGTGCGCTTCGAGTGAGTGACTGGCTCGTAGCCCACAGTCTGCGACCATTTGTTGCATGCATCTCCATTGCAAGCGACGGATATCAATTTATGCACATTTGCCGACCTCAAAATGAAAATAATGACAAAATCTCAGACGCAGTCGGGGGAATCTTTCAGCCAGAACTCCGATTCAGTGAGTACTTTGGCGGCATCGGAATATTGAAAGCTTTTCTGGGAATCTGTTTATACGATTGCCACAGCGAAACTGAGTCTGAGGCTGAGTCAGCTCTTCTTTTGGCCCCAGGGTCCACTGCTGCAGCTACCCCACCAACGAAACGATTCCCATGCAACTCCGAGTGGCACTGAAATGAGTTTGCCATTTGCACAGGGAACCATGAATGAGTCGGAACGAAATGGAAGACCCATCCAATTGGTTGGCAACTCTATTTCAGAATAATCTAATTCCGATAAATGTACATTTTTACAATTAGATGTACATACATTTACAGATCCAGACACTTATTTACTCCATTTAAGAGACCCTTTGACCTTTCTGAGATCTATAAAATAGAGATCATCGCCAGCTTCTAGGGTATCCAACATTCGTAGGAAGTAGGCCTAGACCACAGACCTATTCCGTCCGCCACTCCATGTTTGTTTCGCTTTCCAACGCGCGTTTTGCTGCCTTGCCTACGGAGGGGAGCCACAATCTTATCGAGTATTTCATAATTAATTTGATTAATGCCAATTAATTGCCGTAGGCTTTGTATGGCCAATGGCGGGGCCAATCGATTTCGGATATTTTCTTTGGGCCAAACTGTGGTCATTAGCCGCCTCGGACATGTGACTGGCGGCTGGCAACGCATTCCACAGCTGCAGTGGCAGCGGCATTTGCATAAGGCCATATGAACCCATCGGGGCTGGACTGGGCTTTCTGTCTCTTTGTCGCTTTCTTAGGGGGATTTGCGGGCCATGCCCCCTCTTGTTGCATGACCAGCAGCAAACCTCGGACCCAGTTCGCAATTGCGGCCAGTTCCGAATTGGTTACTCGCCAACAACGCACATCAAATCCAAAAAAAAAAAAACAAAAAGTCCCCAAAAAACCCAACCATAATTCGTATAAATAATATCAGGCCAAAGAATACAAATACTATCATTCGTAGGCCCCGAATATGTGATATAACCGCGGAAATTGTCTTGACACTTATCTGCGAATTCGGTCACCGCGCTTCTTCGCTACCTTTATATACAGATACAGATAGAGCTACAGATACAGATACAGATATATATTTATCATTGTCCGCGAGTGGAGCTCTTATCAAATCAACAAAAGGCTTATATGGCGAACCGCAATAACGAAATGGGCAAACAAAATTCTCCCCCTCCAATAGCCCACTTATATATTACGGTTATACTCGTATGTACAAACGGAAAGTAAACAATCCGAATAAAACTTGGCTAAAACAAACCTGTCGCCGCTCCAGTCGCAGTCGCAGTCCCAGTCCCAGTCGCATTCGCATTCCCAGTCGGAGTCCATCGTTAACTTGAAGATCGTTTCGAGTGGAGGGAGCCCTTAGTTCAGTCCGCGCCTCGTGATTTTAATCTGTTTGGTTTGGTTTTTGTCGCAGTCGGAATTGTTTCAAATATAGCGTCATGCTTTTGGGATTGTTGTCGTTTTCGGGCTGAGATTGTGCTGGGCGGCGGGATTGACGGACGGACTGCCGGGGAGGTGGTGACGGCAATTAGCGAGTTCATGTGGCAAACACCTCGAAAGAATCACGTACCGAAAGGGTATATTTCCCAAAAGTGATTGATTGTAATCGTTGTTTGTACACACTACAATATATGTACGGACGCGTGGAAACAAAAGCGGAGAAAACCCTCAAAATTGTGTGGTAATTATTTATCCAGATATTGCCCAGTGAAGTTCACTGCGTGAGGTCTGCGAAGTATTCTGTGAAGTCATAATCAATAAAAGTGAAGAAACACCGCATAGTTTGAGGCCCAGTGAAGTGAATTACACAACCAATAAAGAATCTTTTGTTTTGAAGCACACAAGCACACAGCAACCAAACCCCAAGAGCTCCCAGGATGTTATGCAACCCACACAGTGATCTCAGAAATCTTCTGCCAGAAATAGGCAATAGTCAAGCGCTACAAGCATACTCGATAAGAATCTTGGCTTGGCGCATGAGTATCTCGCATTTACCAACTTTAATTAATGATAATCGCAGCGAAATGCAAAAAATAAACACAAAAAAAATATATTAGTAAATAAAAAAATGATGTATTCAATCGTGAGTGAAAAGAGATTGGTTGGAACTTTGAGTTATTGCAGTTTTAATCAATGTCTGATTAGATTTATACAAATTTTGGTTTCAGCCTGAAACGTGCTGGAAAAATACTTAAATTTCCAATAAGTAGCTTGTATAGTAATTGCTTTTTTAAATATTATAAACTCAAATGCCTCACGAAGGGTACATACCACACCCCACACACCTTCGCGTATAAACCTTCTGATAAGGCTCCCTAAGGCCAAAGTATGAGTATGCGGCCGAAACAAAATAAATCGAGACACGGACAAGGCCAAAACCAAGTACGTGAAGCACTTGGAGGAGAACTTTTATGTTCTGTTCTGTTCTGATAATCCAAAAGTATTTTGCGATTGCACTCTTTTAGTTTTGTCAAACCTTTGAGAGGAATAGAGCTAAAGTTACGTCGCGACGGGGGCTTAAACTATTGCGGGGGGCGAGAGGGATCTTGCTGTGTGCGAGTGTGTGCTTCGAATGCAAATGCAGCCAAATCGTTATTATTGCCGTTATCGAACTCAATGTCACCTCCGCATTGCTGCAAGCGTTTGATACGCCCCTACATACGCCTCATGCAGCTGCCAATCTATCGTCCCGCAGCCGCCAACCTGCTGCTGGGCCTGACTTCGGTGGTGGGACTCGTCGGCGGGGCCTACCTGCTGCAATGTGGCGCCCAGCGTCTTCTTGGGTGAGTTAATCGAGTAGAGTAGCGATAACCAAATGAGTGTGCCCCCGTGTGTGAAACTGTGTGTGTGTGTGAGAGTACTGGAGGGCACACGTACGCGAGCGTGCAGATGCCAGCAGATGCACTCGCACATACTGGCACAACCACAGATGCAGATGCAGATACAGATACAGTCACGGATGCAGGTGCAGATACATCCCGAAGAGATAAATACTGGCAGTGAAACTGAAACTGAACTTTCCGAGCTGCAGCAGCAGCTTCAATTCGATTACGTGTCCATCGTTTCGCATGACTTGATTGCGTTTGCGTGTACGAAGAAAGCAAAGAAAAGTGCAGAGGAAAAGCATTTCGCATTAAAAGAGATTTGACATAATTGTTGCCATTTTTATGCTTGGCACAGTTGCAACTGCTATTGCTGTTGCCTTTCTATGGTCTTTCCTCATCTCAGTTGGGCATCCAGTACGTACGTAGCTTCGCCTTAATTAAGGATTGCGTAAGAGGGATCAGGCCGCCAGCTGCAGTGTATCATGGTGGCTCACAAATTCATTTTGCACCCATAAATGCTTATGGATAACTGTACCGTTGGCCGTTTCATAACACTACCTGTTCATACATTACTGTCCATTCAATTGACTTGCGGCCAAGACGAATTTGGCCATCTGGCTAACCAGACAGAACCAAAGAGTTGCGACGAATGGCAAACGGAAATCGTTGGCCAACAAAGGGCAGAACCCGCTGCTGCCGCTTCCAGTCATACGAGTACTCCACAACAACAACAACAAAAATGTCACGAAACGCCCGCAAATATTTTGCCTTTTGTCACTAGCACTAGTCAATGACAACTTAATTAGCCGTTATTCTTATAATATTCGAATGTTATACGACATGTGAAAACACGAGTAGGAAATATGCGAGTTTTAAACATATATGTATGTACCTAGTAAAGAAGTGTAGCATTTAACCTTGGCTGGCTGTTTCATTGAGCACAATATTAGCCGAAATAGACGAAAGCTGTGATTTCCTTTTCTCTATTCAGAGACAGAAAGTTGCACGACAGGTTGCATTATAGTGCAATAGAAACCAAAACAAGTTCCGAAATTGTCGAAAGTCTAGAAAACAAAACTAATGCTGACCGTTGTCGCATTTTAAACGGAGATAAACACACCTATTCTGGGTTTTCATATACCCGTAGTGCTGAGTAAACTGAAACGAGTTCTTGCAGTCGGTCGAAAGTAGTAGCTTTGAGAGTGAGAGCCATCAAAAGCTAGTCACAGTGGCAAATTGTATGCATAACCACAGTTGATTAGAAGCAATACTCCTCAAGGGTACGAATGGGTAGTGCTTCCGTTCTTCGATCGAAGAAGTCGGACCGGAATCGGACCAAAGTGCGCTGGCATATATAGATCTCATCCTTGAGTAATGGTGGTGGGCCTTTTAGCCCGACTGTTCCTGTCCATAGCTGCAAGCAAACGGAACCAACAAAGGGTCGGTCAAAGTTATAGCTTGCATCTGGAGATGGCCCATAGCCATAGCGATAATTTTTGCAGAACATTTAAAGGACCACTTAGGGGCGTTACCCGCCCTTTAGACAATACATTTAAATTCCTGATCTGCGTCGAAATCAAAATCGTTTCATTTCAAATTTCTCGCGGAATATTCAAATATGTTGCGCTAAAGTTTACAAATGTTGCGCAACTTTTCGAAAATTTACCAAAATGTTGCAAAGCGCCACTGTGAAATTTTGCTACATGGACATGAGCTGTCATGTAGATATTTAGCAACAATTAAAAACACGTTGGTTAGGCGGTAGCTGGAGAGGGGATATTGAAGATTACTCAGGGTGAGGGGATCGCTATATCGTAGGCTTGTTAGTTAATTTCTAAAACTGTTTTATGATATCTTTAAAGTAGGGGCCTCAATCTAATAATTGATTGTTCTTCTGGCGATACGGGTAATTACTTTCCAGCCCCAGAAATCCTCCACTTATGCTGGCCAAAATTCTGCGAAAATTGAGAACATCTTGTTCATCCCGACTAAGCCATTCATCTAAGCCAACCCAAACAGTACGAGACAGAAACAGGGCCACTTGACGATTTCTCGGGCTGAGAAATGCTAATGGGATGTGCCCAGCTTACATGCATATATTAACCCAGATACTTAAGTCAGATTTCAGGGGAATCTGTACATATGAGAGCTCTCGCATCATCTTTCTCTTTGGGAATTTCCCAGCTGATGCTGTCGCCATTTATTCGCGAATCTAAAGACTATTCCAGTCACCATTCGATTGATTCGTTGAGGTTCCCCTCAATAATGAACGGCTTGGAGCATGCATAGATTTAAATAGACAGACAGCTAACTCGTTTGCGGAATGTTTCTCACAATTAGCATTTGGAAATTAATGAAGTTCAGGCCGAGACACATAGCTGAAAAGATTGCCAAAAATTAATTTATAGACAAATGAATGCATATGCATACGGGTATGAGGCCCGAAACGGTTCCTGCTTGACCAGATGTCTACATGTTTGCGGATAAATCAAGGAAGAAAGGCGATAGATGGCCAGCGAAATATGCCTAGTCACGGCTGATTCCGCTACGTAGACCCGTTGGGCTGGTTTTCTATCCAGGGGGCAGGGGGCGTAAGGTAAGGTAAGCTAAGGCCTTCTTCTCCAGAGTTCACAATTGAATCTTACGTCATTAACGAGTTAGCTGCCTGTCTGCCACTCTCCCGAACGCTGCCACTGCCACTCTCTCTCTCTCTCTCTCTCTGGGTAGGCTTCTCTCCTCAGACATGAAACCGGCACGGGCATGAGACGGAGAGACGACTGTCACTGCTCTGACTGAGGCTCGCTCGGTCTCAGCTGTTGCCCGCTCAGAGCCAACTGCGCACAACAAAGGCAAACCTTGTCCGAGAAAGTTGTCAGTGTCGGAGTGAGTCGCAACGCGTTTCGTTGGCGAATCCAAATTAATGTGCTTCCACTCGAATATACATGCAAATCGGCGAAAACAGTTTAATTCGAGTGCCATGCCAAATCAAAGCAAACAAAGCACCAAACATCTCTTGACAGGCAACTCAAATACCTAGCACACTAAACACCAAACAACTCTAAAAACCAAATCAAACCAATTAAATTCAGACCAAACCAAACCGAAACCAAGAAACCGATCAATCCCACAGAAGCCATCGCAGCTATAGACCTCCACACCGAAGGGAGTGAGAGTGTGCGATAGAATGGTGTTCGCGTCCGTTGTGGTGTGCCAGGTGGAGAAATTGATCTGCATGCCAATCAGCTTTGCCGTATTCGCCTTCCTGTTCATGGCCTGCGCCATGGAGGTGGTTCTGCTCAAGATGACCACCAGTGACCCGGTGTTCGGGCGGCCTCCCGACGACGGCGACGAGGCCGGGGACGACGAGTCCGAGGAGCAGATCTACTACGAGAATCTCGGTAACAACTACGAGCACTGGGCACGCCGTCGGATGCGATTCCACCAGCGGCACCAGCAACAGCTCCAGCAGGAGGAGAGCCAACGGCAACAGCTGCTCGTATAGCTGTAGCTGCAGCATTGCGAATCGGTTGGGTATCGGTTATGACTGGTTTCTTCTGTTTTCGAAATTATATGGTGTATAGTATATGGATATGGAGAGGAGAGAGTTATGATTTCGTTTGTAAGCGATTTCAAAACGAGACATATTCAAATGTTAAGTTGAGCAAATTGTTTGTGATTAATTTTGAGCACGTTGTACCACAACTTCCACAACACACAACAAAACAAAACACGACTCATGCATGGATACGATTAAGTGAGAACTGAATGCATATCTAGATATAAAAGTAGATATATCTGTAAGTACATACATATAAGTATGTGCATATGTCCTACGAGAATAGTTTGTAAGCCGTGTGATATGCTTAGTTATTCGATACCTACATACATAGATCCTAAGTGACGCGAATAAATCTGGCTATAAAACTCAACTCGACTGATATTTCGCTTGCCCCTGGTCCAACTGGTTTTGCCTGTGGCTTTCCTCCGCTTATGCAATTTGCTAGATTGGGGCGGGAGGGGGATAGACGAGAGAGAAAGTCCATTGCTCGATGCTCGATGCCCCTGCAGTGCGGGACTCTCAGACTCGTAGGTGGAGATCTGGGGAACTGGAATTTTGTCGACTCGACCAGGCGCTAATTGTATCTATCGGCTGAGCGCCATCCAATTAGTTGATTTCCTCATGTTTTTCAGCAGTTTGTTTATCTTAGCCTGACCTTCTGCTGGTTGAACAACCCCAGCGATTTCGCAGAACTGACCTGACTAATCGCCATGTATCGAACTAATCGAACATTCTCCGTGTTCTATGAATTCTTTCCAGTAAAATAGCCGATAGGAAGTGGAAGAAGGAGGAAGCCAGGGAGCAGCAGAGCTGCAATGTCTGCTGTGCAGACTTGGACCAGAGCAGTCCCAAAACGTAAGTCAACCTCCAGCAAAAGCCCCCCTCAGCGACTCAGTTAGGGATCGATCTGTATTTTTCAGCTATGTGACATGCTGTACATGCGGAAAGTGCGTTTGCCGCGGACCCAAGTGCGCTGACTGGCGGCCCAAGGATGCCGACTGGGAGTGCCAGCTGTGCCACAGCTCCAAGGAGTCGCTGGCCCACACCTCCTCCTGGGTGGCGGAGCAGATGTCCTTTAACCAGCACAAGTTCGTGTATCCGATGCGGGCTCGCAGCGAGGTCTACATACCCATCACTGGCGATGGGGATGGCGATGCCAATGACAGCACAATGCGTAAGGAGAGGCCCCATAGAAATATACCTAACGTGTTTATAGAACGCCAGACTTTGGTCCTTTGCAGACATTGAGAGCATCAGCCAGATAGGGCAGAGTGTTCATCTCGACGAGCGCGCCAAGATTCGTGCATATGTGGAGGAAATCGTGGCGGAGATGCTGGGCGGCAGTCTGGATCACATCAAAGTGGGACAATTGTCCAAAAGCGAAAACTGTAAGTACAGCCCGCTGCAATCAGGTTGTCACGCGCCCAGATTGTCTTCGATTTGATTTGTGCAAATGAAATTGTCAGCGAATTCAGCTGCATTCGCGCAATTCGCAATTTCCAATTTGCAAATGAGATTCAATTGGGCGGGCAACATATGTGCATATGTGCCTTTCGTTGGCAAAATTCGCAAGCAACACATGCTGCCGGCCATCGAAAGTTCGCTGCATACTTTTGGGCGAAGCTTTTGCTAAACTTTTTACCCACACATATACTCATAAACACACACACACCGCTCACACTCAAACTCACACATGCAAATGCAATGCAGACTTGCAATTCTTCCACAAATTTCATGCGAAACTTTCGAACCTGCTTATCAATGTGGAGAGCGACCTGCTCAAGGGAGGTAAGTCATCGACTCTATCCAGTAATCGAGTTCTCAGAAATCGAGCGAAAGCAATGTAATCGTTTTGAATGTAATCTAACCTCTCGATCCTGCATCCGTACTTGTACCTGTACCTCTATCTACATATATCTGTATTTTGTGTTGAGCACGTAGAACCTTGCCCCAAATATGTATGTAACAGAGTGTGAGAATGCCGCCCATAAACGCCATAAAATAAATCTATGAAACAATGACTGGAGCTTTTATTGAATGCCAGTTGTAGTGCCGGCCAGCCTTAGTTGCACTGACTTATCATTTTACTGGTAGTACAAATTGAGAGCCTAAATAAGCACTCTCTCACACACAGGGACAGGGACAGGGACCCTGACAGACAGAAAATCGGAGTCAGATAAGGCTACATAGCTCTGATAAGGTGCTTTAGCTATTGAAGTGCCGACAGAAATAGCAACGGCTACAGCAGGGAACATTGTGATTACAACGCTTTGTTGGCGCCGATGTTCTGTAGCCTTAGCAAGATGACAGACCGATATAGGCATTAATCATACGCACCGTAGCATTGCTCACCAACTGGTTCGAGACTCGATTCGGAGTCTGCTCAGTGGTGTAAATTTCTAGCTTACACGGCCATTCATGAAACTCTCTGTCTTAGCAATTGATTGACAGCGTCACGCTCGGAGCCAGGCGACTAATATCCACTAATTTGCGCGGCAGCGTGCATGTAAATCTCAAAGCCAAACTCAGCTGTTGGCCAAGAGGAGAGTCCGGTGGAATGGCCGGGCAGTGCCGAAACACCCGAGACCGCTCTGTGTAGGGTCCACACGCACACAGACCTACGAGAGCGAGCGTGTGTGTGTGTGTGTGTGTGTGAGAGTGGGTCTGAGTGAGCGGTTAGGCGCTCGGCGCTCGACAATCGCACGGAACCGCTTCATTTGCCAGAAGCGTCGCGCCGTGATCGTAACGTTAAACGAGCTCCGGGTACGGACACACACACACACGCGCACAGAGACTGAAGAAGATTCCGCCTAAACGGGAGTACTAGTGATAACATACTATATTGTATTAAGTGATATCTACAAGAATTTTGGCCAGCCGCAAAAAACATACATATGTACGTCCATCTGCAACCGTCAGAGCAGAGATAACGCGAAGAAGCTGCTGCTCAGTTATGAGTTATCGCCAACCTTGACCCCGAACCCGAAGCTGGCAAAAAAGTTGAGAAAAAGAGACAGTTGAAACTCAAGTCTATAATCGCGAGGTAAAACAGGCAAGACGAGGAAGAGACCTCAATCAACGCTAATCAATATTAATGATCCCGAGTCCCGCTTATAGCTCCACTGTGTGTAACCCAATCTGAGATTAACAACAACAAAAAATCCATAATTTTCCGACGATGATCGTGGACTTTTGACATGTGAATGTGCTTTTAACTGTGCTCCTTAACGCTGTAGTTCAACTTTGACCTTAACCAATCAGAAAAACAAACCTCTCACCAAACTTATCGCAAGAATTCGGCCCGATCCGAGCTGATGGAAAGTTATCGAGCCCCTCGAACCCCATCGCAGGGCTAAGCATTAAATAATCAAAATGGAATAAAGTAATACTCGTAATCCGCTCAGTGATAATTACTTAAGTGACTTGCGCTGAACCCCTGAACTTTGCTCGCGCCCAGTCGGAGAATACAGAGGTGATCCGTGTGGGTCTGGTACTGGTTCTGGGTCTGGGTCTGGGCCTGTTTCTCTGCCTGTTTCTGGTGTTATTTTCACCGATGACTCGCATGCGACTATTTGTTTTCAATACGACAGTTTCTATCTTTGACATTTTTTGCACACCTGAATGACTAACGGCCTAGACATAGACCCGCCGACCATTCGGGCCATTCAGAGCATTCATGCGGGCAGCCACCAATTGATTTGTTAGCAGACTTGGGCCGATAAAGAAATATGGGCGGCTTTGTAACGATAAATAGATAACTCCAGGCCATTCATTATTCATTATAAAATCGGGTATTTACCGCAATGCGACGATAGACTTAACATGTCAAAGGAAAATGATGAATATGCGAACTCGAATGCAAATGTGAATGCGAGCTGTGAGTATTCGCGATTTTCAGCATGAGTGGCGTTCGATTGGGTTGGGGACACCTGGCTGCTCAAGCGTTTAGGGGACTCGGTGATACACTTCTGTTTGCCAATAATTAGGGAGAAAACAAAACAATACAGCTTAAATATTTGTTTGAAATAATTAACAGCTCGACCGGCAGTTATATCAATGAAAACTCCAAACAAAACCCCAACACACTCCATTCAGACAGCAGAAAGCAGACAGCGGCCGCAAGTGTAGATAAACAAACAAACAAATAAACAATTAACCGATATCTGCGATTCAGCAATTTCGTCTGTATCGTATATCGAACCATAACACCTATATAAACCAGTACTCGATCGTATGCATGCAGCATGGACTTTACTTTGGGCCTAATCACCGGCGTGTATGCCGTTCTGGCCGTTATTGTCTTTTACGTTGTTTACGTCATTGAGGTGAAATTAGGTATGGCTTATACACTCACTCACTCACTCACTCACTTACTTTCTTTACCTTTCACACACACATACACGTATACAAAAACACCTAGAAGTAAGTTAATTTTCACTTTTATTGTATCGGACTTGGCTAACCAAGCATTCAACTAGTAGTAGTTTTGGCCAGCCAGCATTCTCGGTCAGATCCATTTGACAATACTGTGTCACACATGCTTTCAGATCTGCCGGCCATTGTCAATGGGAGCAACAGCAACAACAACAACAACAACAACAATGGGGACTCCGAGTCTCTGGCAGACATCTCGCAGACCCGTCTACGGAGTCTCATCGAGACCATCATAGCGGAGACGCTGCGCAACAGTGCCCTGAGCGTGAGCGGAGCCGTCTCGGAGATCAGCCTGGACACCCGCTCGCTGGCCGCCGAGCTGCCGAACAAAGGGAATGGGCTGAAGCGCCGACATCGCACGGAGCACTACTTCGAGCCGAAGATCTATCAGGATCTGCTGGCCACAGCGGTGCTCAATAAGGTAAGCCTTGAGCCTTACACTGACCCATGCCCATGCCACTATGCCACCTGTGGTACCACACATGACCTCTCCTCTACCCGTTGTCGACTGTCTTGTAAGCTGTATGTACGGTCGTATTCTGGCCACTTCCGCCACGCGCTTCGTTCAGTTTTCGCTTTCATTCAACCCGCACTTGGCCGGCTTCGATTGTCCAGTTGCCACACCGATGAACCAGAACCAGACCACGCTAATTAGTTGCAGCCCATTGTCTCGACTGCTAAGACGTTTTCTTCAAGCAGCAGCACCACTCACAGTATAAGAATAAAATCAATCACGTCGCTAATTGGATAAATCCTTATTCTGGAAAATCAAAAATAGCCCATTTCGGAAGAGTTTCTACATACAGGCCAATACAAGACAATGGAGGACTCCGGTGATAAAGTAAATATTAGTTACGACACGATTGCGGCAATTGAAACGCCAAATCCATGACTCAGCGAACCATATCAGCCACCATTACGATTACGTATTCAGTTCTAATCAGGAAATCCTAAATCTTATCGCAACTTCCATCCCCAAACTTCGCAACGTGGACAACAAACTGGCTTATACGTCACTGAACACGATCGATAAGACAATTTGTCAATAATTATTGATTATAATCGATGGCAATGGGAGCTCAACGAAACCTTTCGTTGAGTGTCGTTAAGTGGCGGACTGGATATGGCCGCGTCTAATCTGCTTAAGGGCCTTTTGTATCGCACTCGTCGTGCTGACTGAACCACAGACGACTCTCTGGGGTTCAACAACACTTCGCTGCCCTGCCACAATGCCAAGGTCAATAGACTAACACAACGTTCCCGTTGTTACCTTTGCTGTTTTCTGTTCCACAGATTGCCGATAAGGAAGGGAACACAAGGTTAATATCGGAGAGCACACCAGACTTGAGTGGTCACCTCATTGATGAGAATTACAATGCCGAAGCGTTGAGCACCACGTCCGGTAGTTCCATTGAGCCCCGAAGCGATTGCAGCCTCACCGACCATGAATTGGCACTGGATGTAAGCTGCTATACACTCATATCCCCATAGTCCCCAGTATCGCCTGCTATTATTCCCGAATATTCCTCATTCCAGACTGGCAAATCCAAGTCCCTGCAGGCGGATTTGGAGCGTGAATCGGTTTTGAGTGATTATATAGCCGCCCACATGGTTCCCCTTCCGGACTTTTCGGCATCTGTTACTGAGTCGGAGGATGGTAAGTAATATACTACTCTCTAACGCTATGGTCCAGATTCTTCCACCCCCATTCTCCAATCCCTTTTAGATGTTGGATCAATCTCCTCGAGCATGATCGGCGATGGCACTTGGGAGGATAACTGGCTATTCAAGAAGAAGCGCAGCTCCGTGCAGAGCTCGGTCACACCGAGCAGCATTGGCATGCTGGTGCCGGCTCCCATGGAGAATGTGCGTGCCCAAATCGGCGATAGGACTGCGGACGAGGTCAGCGATCTGTCGGAGCTGGGATCGGATGTGGAGGACAATTCGCTTGATTTGCTGCGCTGCAACGATCTAAACGATCGCCTGCTGAGCAAGCATCTGATCGGTGGCCAGAACACAAAACTTGTGCTAGACGAGCTCGTAGATCGGACCAGCCTGATCTCCCACACCCTACCAGAGGAGCATGAGCCCGCATTTACGGAAACCACAAACACGTTCGTCGTAGCATCCTCTGCCGCGACATCTGATGTTATAGTTTCACTACCATCACCCATGGTGTTTCAAGATGACTCGATGAACGAGGAGCTGGTCCAGACTCCCATTGCAGGTAATTGCACTGCTACTTCCACTTCCACGTACCTCAAACGTAGTACATCATCCTTACCCTTCTTAATATTGCGTAAACCCTTCCCTGTGATTAGACAGCATTAGAGAGCATCAATCCTAGATAGTCGATCCTAGTTGATCTTAGCTGTTTGAAGTCCGGAACCCTCCAAGTTATGTAGATCCTCAGCCCTCTTGTGCCTGATCTTGAAGCATCGACATTTAGCAGTCGTTTGTGTTACAGCCCAAGGCGAAACTGACGAACTGGCCAGCCTCGAAGGTTGCATTGGTTACAGCACAGTAGAATACATTGATGAAGAGCAGATGCGCGAAACCACGCCGTCAGTTATCGAAATACTAGCCGCCATTGCCTTGGGACCGATGCTAGCGGTCCCAGCATCGGAGCAGCCGGGGGTCATAACTCCGAGTGAGATGCATACACTAAAGGAGCTAAGCGACTTGGCGCTCGCCGAAATAAACGCTCGCACAATGGACCTGGCGCACCATTCACTTGACATCATAGAAGAGGAGAATATTGAATTAATGCCGTTCACCGGGAGTGTCTCAGAACCTTCCACTATAAATGTCCATCCATCAACTCTGACAGACCCAACAACAAACCACCAATCTACAGAAACAACAGCCGCCCAGGAGCCAAAAATGGTACCAAAACCTGCCATAGACAGTGATGCGCCCATACATAACCCATCGACAACACAAATTCTAACAGTAGATAAACCAGCAGCATTGGATCCTCCGGCAGCAGTGGAAATCAGTCCTGAAACGGACACTGTTGCTGTTGATCCTCCTCCGCCAGCAGCAGCGGAAATCATATCAGACACAGAAACCGTAGCCGTGGATCCGCCAGCTGCATTGGACATCTCTCCAGCCGCAGAAACCGTAGCTGTGGATCCTCCAGCAGCAGTGGAACTCATTACAGATCCTGAAACCGTAGCTGTGGATCCTCCGGCAGCAGCATTGGAAATCATTCCAGACGCAGAAACCGTAGCTGTGGATCCTTCCGCACCAGTGGAAATCCTTCCGGAAACACAAACTGTTGCTGTTGATCATGCTCCTCCAGCAGCATTGGAAATCACTCCAGCAGCAGAAACTGTAGCTGTGGATCCTCCAGCAGCAGTGGAAATCATTTCGGAAACAGAAACTGTTGCTGTTTATCCTCCTCCTCCAGCAGCAGTGGAAATCACTCCAGCAGCAGAAACTGTAGCTGTGGATCCTGCAGCAGCAGTGGCAATCATAACAGAACCTGAAACCGTAGATGCGGATCCTCCGGCAGCAGCATTGGAAATCACTCCAGCAGCAGAAACCGTAGCTGTGGATCCTCCGGCAGCAGCATTGGAAATCATTCCAGACGCAGAAACCGTAGCTGTGGATCCTTTCGCACCAGTGGAAATCCTTCCGGAAACACAAACTGTTGCTGTTGATCATGCTCCTCCAGCAGCTTTGGAAATCACTCCAGCAGCAGAAACTGTAGCTGTGGATCCTCCAGCAGCAGTGGAAATCATTCCGGAAACAGAAACTGTTGCTGTTGATCCTGCTCCTCCAGCAGCAGTGGAAATCACTCCAGCAGCAGAAACTGTAGCTGTGGATCCTCCAGCAGCAGCGGAAATCATTCCGGAAACGGAAATCGTAGCTGTGGATCCTCCTGCAGCAGTGGAACTCATTACAGATCCTGAAACCGTAGCTGTGGATCCTCCGGCAGCAGCGTTGGAAATCATTCCAGACGCAGAAACCGTAGCTGTGGATCCTCCCGCACCAGTGGAAATCATTCCGGAAACAGAAACTGTGGCTGTTGATCCTGCTCCTCCAGCAGCAGTGGAAATCACTCCAGCAGCAGAAACTGTAGCTGTGGATCCTCCAGCAGCAGTGGAAATCATTACAGAACCTGAAACCGTAGCTGTGGATCCTACGGCAGCAGCATTGGAAATCATTCCAGACGCAGAAACCGTAGCTGTGGATCCTCCCGCACCAGTAGAAATCATTCCGGAAACAGAAACTGTGGCTGTTGATCCTGCTCCTCCAGCAGCAGTGGAAATCACTCCAGCAGCAGAAACTGTAGCTGTGGATCCTCCAGCAGCAGCGGAAATCATTCCGGAAACGGAAATCGTAGCTGTGGATCCTCCGGCAGCAGCATTGGAAATCATTCCGGAAACAGAAACTGTTGCTGTTGATCCTGCTCCTCCAGCAGCAGTGGAAATCACTCCAGCAGCAGAAACTTTAGCTGTGGATCCTCCAGCAGCAGTGGAAATCATTACAGAACCTGAAACCGTAGCTGTGGATCCTACGGCAGCAGCATTGGAAATCATTCCAGACGCAGAAACCGTAGCTGTGGATCCTCCGGCAGCAGCATTGGAAATCATTCCAGACGCAGAAACGGTAGCTGTGGATCCTCCCGCACCAGTGGAAATCATTCCGGAAACAGAAACTGTTGCTGTTTATCCTGCTCCTCCAGCAGCAGTGGAAATCACTCCAGCAGCAGAAACTGTAGCTGTGGATCTTCCAGCAGCAGTGGAAATCATTACAGAACCTGAAACCGTAGCTGTGGATCCTCCGGCAGCAGCGTTGGAAATCATTCCAGACGCAGAAACCGTAGCTGTGGATCCTCCTGCACCAGTGGAAATCATTCCGGAAACAGAAACTGTTGCTGTTGATCCTGCTCCTCCAGCAGCAGTGGAAATCACTCCAGCAGCAGAAACTGTAGCTGTGGATCCTGCAGCAGCAGTGGCAATCATAACAGAACCTGAAACCGTAGTTGCGGATCATCCGGCAGCAGCATTGGAAATCACTCCAGCAGCAGAAACCGTAGCTGTGGATCCTCCGGCAGCAGCATTGGAAATCATTCCGGAAACAGAAACTGTTGCTGTTGATCCTGCTCCTCCAGCAGCAGTGGAAATCACTCCAGCAGCAGAAACTGTAGCTGTGGATCCTCCAGCAGCAGTGGAAATCATTACAGAACCTGAAACCGTAGCTGTGGATCCTACGGCAGCAGCGTTGGAAATCATTCCAGACGCAGAAACCGTAGCTGTGGATCCTCCCGCACCAGTGGAAATCATTCCGGAAACAGAAACTGTGGCTGTGGATCCTGCTCCTCCAGCAGCAGAAACTGTAACTGTGGATCCTCCAGCAGCAGCGGAAATCATTCCGGAAACGGAAATCGTAGCTGTGGATCCTCCGGCAGCAGCATTGGAAATCATTCCAGACGCAGAAACGGTAGCTGTGGATCCTCCCGCACCAGTAGATATAATTACGGAAACAGAAACTGTTGCTGTTGATCCTGCTCCTCCAGCAGCAGAAACTGTAGCTGTGAATCCTCCAGCAGCAGCGGAAATCATTCCCGAAACGGAAATCGTAGCTGTGGATCCTCCAGCAGCAGCATTGGAAATCATTCCGGAAACAGAAACTGTTGCTGTTGATCCTGCTCCTCCAGCAGCAGTGGAAATCACTCCAGCAGCAGAAACTGTAGCTGTGGATCCTCCAGCAGCAGTGGAAATCATTACAGAACCTGAAACCGTAGCTGTGGATCCTACGGCAGCAGCATTGGAAATCATTCCGGAAACAGAAACCGTAGCTGTGGATCCTCCTGCACCAGTGGAAATCATTCCGGAAACCGAAACTGTTGCTGTTGATCCTGCTCCTCCAGGAGCAGTGGAAATCACTCCAGCAGCAGAAACTGTAGCTGTGGATCCTCCATCAGCAGCGGAAATCATTTCGGAAACGGAAATCGTAGCTGTGGATCCTCCGGCAGCAGCATTGGAAATCATTCCATATGCAGAAACCGTAGCTGTGGATTCTTCCGCACCAGTGGAAATCCTTCCGGAAACACAAACTGTGGCTGTTGATCCTGCTCCTCCAGCAGCATTGGAAATCACTCCAGCAGCAGAAACTGTAGCTGTGGATCCTTCAGCAGCAGCGGAAATCATTCCGGAAACGGAAACCGTAGCTGTGGATCCTCCAGCAGCGGTGGAAATCATGTCAGAAACAGCAACCGTAGCTGTGGATCCGGCAGCTGCATTGGAATTCACTCAAGCCGCAGAAACCGTAGCCGTGGATCCTTCCGCACCAGTGGAAATCCTTCCGGAAACACAAACTGTGGCTGTTGATCCTGCTCCTCCAGCAGCAGTGGAAATCACTCCAGCCGCAGAAACTGTAGCTGTGGATCCTTCAGCAGCAGCGGAAATCATTCCGGAAACGGAAATCGTAGCTGGGGAACCTCCGGCAGCAGCATTGGAAATCATTCCAGATGCAGAAACCGTAGCTGTGGATCTTTCCGCACCAGTGAAAATCCTTCCGGAAACACAAACTGTGGCTGTTGATCCTGCTCCTCCAGCAGCAGTGGAAATCACTCCAGCAGCAGAAACTGTAGCTGTGGATCCTTCAGCAGCAGCGGAAATCATTCCGGAAACGGAAATCATAGCTGTGGATCCTCCAGCAGCAGTGGAAATCATGTCAAAAACAGCAACCGTAGCTGTGGATCCGGCAGCTGCATTGGAATTCACTCAAGCCGCAGAAACCGTAGCCGTGGATCCTTCCGCACCAGTGGAAATCCTTCCGGAAACACAAACTGTGGCTGTTGATCCTGCTCCTCCAGCAGCAGTGGAAATCACTCCAGCCGCAGAAACTGTAGCTGTGGATCCTTCAGCAGCAGCGGAAATCATTCCGGAAACGGAAATCGTAGCTGGGGAACCTCCGGCAGCAGCATTGGAAATCATTCCAGATGCAGAAACCGTAGCTGTGGATCTTTCCGCACCAGTGGAAATCCTTCCGGAAACACAAACTGTGGCTGTTGATCCTGCTCCTCCAGCAGCAGTGGAAATCACTCCAGCAGCAGAAACTGTAGCTGTGGATCCTCCAGCAGCAGTGGAAATCATTACAGAACCTGAAACCGTAGCTGTGGAGCCTCCGGCAGCAGCATTGGAAATCATTTCAGAAACAGAAACCGTAGCTGTGGATCCTCCCGTACCAGTGGAAATCATTCCGGGAACAGAAACGGTTGCTGTTGATCCTGCTCCTCCAGCAGCAGAGGAAATCACTCCAGCAGCAGAAACGGTAGCTGTGAATCCTCCAGCAGCTGTGGAAGATGTAGAAACCGTATCTGTGGATCCTCCAGAAGCAGTTGAAATCATTCCAGTCACAGAAAACGTAGCTGTGGATCCTCCTGCAGCATTGGAAATCACTCCAGCAGCAGAAACTGTAGCTGTGGATCCTCCAGCAGCAGTGGAAATCATTACAGAACCTGAAACCGTAGCTGTGGATCCTACGGCAGCAGCATTGGAAATCATTCCAGATGCAGAAACCGTAGCTGTGGATCCTTCCGCACCAGTGGAAATCATTCCGGAAACAGAAACTGTGGCTGTTGATCCTGCTCCTCCAGCAGCAGTGGAAATCACTCTAGCAGCAGAAACTGTAGCTGTGGATTCTTTAGCAGCAGTGGAAATCATTACAGAACCTGAAACCGTAGCTGTGGAGCCTCCGGCAGCAGCATTGGAAATCATTCCGGAAACAGAAACCGTAGCTGTGGATCCTCCTGCACCAGTGGAAATCATTCCGGAAACAGAAACTGTTGCTGTTGATCCTGCTCCTCCAGCAGCAGAAACTGTATCTGTGGATCCTCCATCAGCAGCGGAAATCATTCCGGAAACGGAAATCGTAGCTGTGGATCCTCCGGCAGCAGCATTGGAAATCATTCCAGATGCAGAAACCGTAGCTGTGGATCCTTCCGCACCAGTGGAAATCCTTCCGGAAACACAAACTGTTGCTGTTGATCATGCTCCTCCAGCAGCATTGGAAATCACTCCAGCAGCAGAAACTGTAGCTGTGGATCCTTCAGCAGCAGCGGAAATCATTCCGGAAACGGAAATCGTAGCTGTGGATCCGCCAGCTGCATTGGAAATCATTACCGAACCTGAAACCGTAGCTGTGGATCCCCCAGCAGCAGTGGAAATCATGTCAGAAACAACAACCATAGCTGTGGATCCGGCAGCAGCTGTGGAAGATGTAGAAAACGTTTCTTTGGATCCTCCTGCAGCAGTGGGAATCATTCCGGAAACAGAAACTGTTGCTGTTGATCCTTCTCCTCCAGCAGTAGTGGAAATCATTGCAGGGACAGAATCGGTGGTTTTGGATCCTACCGGTGCAGTGGAATTCATTCCGGAGACACAAACTAAAGCTGTGGAAATACCAGCTGTTGAAGTGGAGGCTAAGAGCGTTTCAGACCTTGGTCCGAATGCTTTAATCGACGATACGCAGTTGTTAAATTGTGTTCCGAAACCGCTTAAAGAGTCAGATAACATGGACACAGCATTATTGGAACCATCATCGGAATGCGTTCCAGCGCAAACATCCGTAGAATACACTAAGAGCGATAGTTCCGCTCTAGGTAAAGCGTCTCAAAAGTGCCTACGAAGACAGCCGAACATTCCTGACACAACACCGAGCGATGGAGACTCGGCTGCGAGACCCGTGCCTGTAAACCTCTTGGGGACCATTTGCAAGTTTTACATTAAAGACAAACGCCTATTGGCAACAATCGAACGCAGACGACGACGCGCTCTGATCATGCACAAATACCTGAGCTCCTTTGATTCTATGGAGGAGACCATAGATGATATTAACGAGAGCCATCCCAGCCTTTTTAACGAATTGCACATGTATGCCGATGATAGTTTAGTTTCCAGTAGAGAGTCCCATATCCAAGTCAGAACCGAATCGGCAACCGTAGAAGAGGGAGTTATCTGGGATAAGTGGGATAATGCCAGAGTAGATAACACAGTGTCTTCAGTTCCTATATCCCTAGAAGATACCTTTGCAGAAGAGCTACCATCGCACTCCCATGACAGTAGACCCAGCGAATTGTACACAATAAATTTGGAAGATCCATTGAGTTTAGAGATTAGTCGTAGCAGAGAAACATTCTGTGATATAGCAGATGATATAGACATAGATTTGGAGACTGATTCAATCATTGTAGGTAGTTTGAGCGAAATCACGTATAATTTTATTAACGTAATTCTCTTCTCAGATCAATTAAGTTCAGAATCAAATCACAGCGATGAGAGTGCGCCGTCCACAAGCTGTGAGACCTTCAACGGAGACGGCGACTCTGAACAGGAGTTCGTTAGTCAGAGAGTTCTAGTTTTGGACGAGCGCACGGCTAGGACTCCGTCGACAAACACTTACACTCCCAGCAACACCAACTCTAATACCAACTCTAACTCTAACACACATCCCACTTACACTGAAACCACAACTAACCACACAAATCCGGGTAGACGCACTAACGGCAAACTAACAAATGGTTCCCTAAGATGGTCGAACAAGGCGGGTGCCGGTTCCGGTGTCGGTGTCGGTGCCGGTGCCGTAGCCTGTGCCATGGCACTCCCGAACGGTGGCCACCTGGTGGCCCAACAAAGCGACGTTGATGATGATGATGTTGTACTGTTGCGGCGCTTTGTGCCAGGTAACCCACAGACATGGCCACCACTGTCATCACTCGGTGTTTGTTGTCCTTACGTTGCTGCTGATTGCTTGGTCTTGCTTTGATTCTTTGTTGTTCGCCTAGCTTATGTTAACTGTCTATTACGTGTCCTGCACAAAGCCAACAGCCACACAGACGATCCCATTGTTTCTAAAACCCACACACCCACCCCACTTGCAGGTTCCATTGCTGAGCGAGAGGTCAAGAAGTGGTACAATGCCGTCGAAATGCCCAACAACCCTTATGCGCCCGAGGCTCTGAAGCAGCGTATCAGTGGCACCCAGGAGCGGTACATGGATGTGCCAAATATCAGTCCCAGTGCCGAGCAGAAGGCTCTGGCCGCCGCCCTCACTGAAGATGGCGATCCGGCGCCACCTTCAACCGACTACAAACGGTAAGTCCAGACTCATTCCCAACCGGACTCCCCCCGTACATACATACATATATAACCATCCATCGATCACACAGCTACAGCCGCGACTACTACATCAACAATGCCCCCAATGGCACAGAAGTAAACGGAATCGTACGGAGAGCATCGTCCGGCGCAGAGAAGCAGCCGTCCGCAGAGGATGTTGAGCAGGACATAGTTATCACCGAGGTAAATCAACCAGAACCACTACCACCGCATGGCCGCATTTTAAATAGCGCTCAAAGTAACGCGCCTGACCTCTCTCATTGGACACTGTCCACACCAGTGCGCCGTAGCAGTTCGCTAAAATTCATTAACAAGCGTCCATCCCCCTCATTAACGCCCGTCCCCATCAATGACTACGAGCGTCCTTCCACTTCAGCGTCGCACTACCGCGACACGAGCTTAGGGCTAGACGACGAGGACTTTGATGTGCGCTCCCACCGCTCCTGGCGTAGCAGCATTGGCCAGTTTGGCTATGGGTCCGCCAGCACCCTGCCCAAGCGTCGCACCCAGTCCAGTCTGAGCCTGCATAGCAATGGGAGCGGGGTCTCCTTCGGCTCGTCCGCGTCCAAGAGGCGCCAGGCTGGCCCCTCGGCCGGGGTACTCACACAGTTCGAGAAGCAGTTGCTTCACAAAGACCTCAAGCGCAACAGTTTCCGTGCGGTGTCTGCCACCTCGAAGGATTTCGTGATGAATCCCCTATTCGAGAACGAGGCCAAGCTGGCGCTCAGGCCGGACACAGAGGACCCGGGGGACTCGGGAGTCGATAGCTGCCTAAACGGCTTCAGCGGTGCGGACGCGGACGCCAAGTACAGTAACAATAGTTTACTCTTCTAGATCAAGTGGTGGAAACAGGTTAGGATAGGCCAGAAGGTCGGGTAGGATCGGGGTCGGGTCTATCGAGAGTTATACTCGTAGTTTATATTTGCCAAATCACGCATAGCTTAGTCAAATCATTGTTAATAAACACTAGTCAGTATAGAAAGCCAAGTTTCCCTGTATATACAAACGAGTGAAACGAAGGAGGGGCGGGTGTCGAACACACCACCACACACAGAATCTCCAGCACTGGAAGGCCTATGAGCCAAGGGCAGGGTCAGGTCATTCGTCACACCTTTCAGCCGCACCAATACGCACCAATCCAACAAGCTATGAGAATGTCTTGCTAGTGTTCTATCTATCTATGTCTATATATCTATCTAATTCGTAATTTTATTTAGAAAATATCTACGTAATGTAATGCTAATGCCCTAGAGTATGAAAAGTTTGTTTTTTAATCATTATATTTTGCTGTTAATTTTATTAAATAAATAATACGTAACAATAGTTTCAATCTGTATGCACTCTGCTAACGATCTTTTTATAAACAACAACCCCACACGTACATATCGTATGCCTAGAAATATTTACAAAATATGCCTTAATTCCGAATAAAGCCAAAATATATGCAAACTAATGAAAACGCAAGCAATGAAACAAATGTTTTTAGTAGGTATCCCAACAAGCTATCCAATGGTGAGTACAGCCAAACCTTATTAATATTCAATTCAAATTTTCCCACTGTTTGGCGTTGCTTTTGGAATATGACTAACGGCATTTGTTTCGAAACAAACCATTTGAATAGCTGTTACTAATGTACTATTACGAGTGTTTGCATGATTCTGCTTGATCGAACATACTATAGATATACACCACACACCACACCACATCCACTCGTACATAACACGCAGACAAACTTTCAACAATAAAATCACCAACTTTGCCACACATACAAATGTACATAAATATACTAAAAATCCCACTGTTCTTCTCTCCGTTTGAATGTTGACTTGACCATAACTGCTTATGTACACTAAACCAACAATACACCCATCAACTAAACCAACTAAACCAACAACACACAAACCAACCTATCGAAACAAAAATGTCTTATCAAAAGGCGGCTCAAAACGCAAGCACAACTGCAATAGAGCAGGATAAGGAACAGGAATCAGTTGCGGCTAACGTTTACACGGCCTTGCCAGCTCAGGTATTTGACGATTTGCTAGAGACCCAGTCGAACCCATCGCTTCACTCCCTGCAAACAACGACAACCACCAGCGATGAATCCGAAACGGTGCGCGTCTACGACTTTAACAAGCAGGAGACCACGGTCATCAGACCTGCCCCTGCGGAGCAGCAGCCGAGCTCCTCCACGACATCATCCATGGAGTCAGCTCAGAGCGCGTCGGTGTCCTCTTCCTCCATAGACGCATCTGTGTCCAAAAAGCGTGAGCGACCAGTTGTCCTACAGTTTGGCCCTGCCGACTCGGTGCCCACAATCGGTTCGCCAGTGAACACCCCCACAAGAGGCTCAACGCCCCCGGCATTCCGCTTTCTCCAGCCAAAACGACGCCTCATCGAGCCGAGTCAAGTGCTGTCTGTGGACGAAGATGATGTGGTGAGTAAATACTTTAAGGTAGGACGGGTTGATTCTACCACCTTAAACAATATGCATGACAGATGGAGCCTAATACACCCGTCGCCGAGAAGCCCGCCGTAGAAGATGAGGTGGTGCATGCAATGCCGTCAGTGAAAGCTCTGGCCCAGGCCTTCCTCTTGACTAGCAAAGCCCAACAAGCCGAGCGACGATGGCGATCAAAGGTAAATCTGAGTAGATCTGTAGAATACGATATATAAGTATGAGTTTTCAAATGGACGTATAATTTCACACAAGGTTCGGCTATCCTTACCAGCTGATACGTCAGACAAGTCTCCTACCTCCCTGGCACGGCGACACAAGCTGGAGCATGCTGTTTCCATGGCAGAGGTAGCCGATGAATCCACGATCGCCTCTGACTTATCATCCCTCGAAACGTAAGTTCTCTGTGTAGTTGAATGAAAGTTATGTTTCCGAGCTCTTTTCTACAATCACAGGGATCCATCTATTCAATCGGACGGTTCCACGAACCCACCTATCGCCTCTCCTGTGACCCCAGTCCCCGTACGTCATGGCTTTCTCCGGAGCAATATTGCTTTCTTTGAGAACTTAAAGTTTAAGTGAATAAGCGAAGGGGATGAGATGTGCCTCCATTGGTGGATATTCCTTGAGTAATATGCACGGTAATGGTAAAGCACTCCACGTATCGTCACCAAAAATTATGTGCCATGGCCATGGCCAGCATTTCCCAGCCAGAGACCTACCACACACACACAACAATGTACTTAACTTCAATTGTTACTTGTAGTCCGTATTTATTATTAATAACTATTATATCCATGGATACTATTTTTTTAGCCCTAAGATATGTATTATGTATGTATTTACTTATAAGGCGTAACAGAGCTATTTAAAGTTTTACCAAGAAATGTTACATTTTACCCGTACGTGTTTAACTGTTGCATACTTCTAATCAATAAATCTTACATAGACTCAAAGCTCTTTTGGAGTTCTCACAACTGAAATTCACAACAGACGAATATACATAGATTTGGGATCGATGTAGAGATTGGGATTGTAGAGAACAGGACGAACCATGTAGCAATTTGGAAGACCCCACCATAATCCAAACAATATAGAGAATTAATTACAGTACACAAAGTCCTTATTATTTCGAAAAAAGAGTCCATATAAATTTCTAGGGTTATATGTATATCAAATAAATTCAACGGCCAGCAGCTGCATTTAAAATGCGCCTGGTAGAGCTAGAACGAGTGAGAGGAAAGAGACGAGTTGTTGCCGGTACATTTGGAATGATGATCACTTCGGTGCTGGCATAACCAACACCAGCACCGGTCCGACCGGACCGTATCGGACCGGCTACTGCGAGCTGTGGTTGTGATGTGGATGCTCCGCAAGATAGACGACATAGACCAGCGGTATGACGACGCACAGAGCGAGTATGAATATCAGCAGACAGATCCAGGACATGTCGCAGTCAGAGCCGGACCAATCGATGGCACGCAGAGAGGGACCCGGTATGGGACGCACCAGAGGAGCATGCCTGTCCACAAGCAAGTCGTTCAACAGAGGTGCACTGTCGTCCGGCGATCGCTCCATATTGGCTGCGTTAAATTTTACAAAATAGAGACATGTATTAGCTATGGCGGAGAACAATTAAATATTATGTTATGTAATCGTTTGCGAAACATCCGGAGGTAAATTTTTGTTTTATTTAATTAATTGCCAGTTGAAGGATATATTATCTATTACAGTTTCTCCTTCAGTGGATACAAAATAGTGCCAATAAAACTAGTCTTAATTATAGGTCATATAGCGGGGAGTGGCGCTAAACTTGGCGTAGCTCTTGATAACCTTGTTCACGGCCTCGAGGAAATCCTTTTCGGTGGCCACCTTGCGACGCGCACGAATTGCAAACATGCCGGCTTCCGTGCACACTGAGCGGATCTCGGCGCCCGTAGAGTTGGGGCAGAGACGAGCGAGAAGATCAAAACGAATGTCACGTTCCACGGACATAGAGCGAGCGTGAATCTTGAAAATATGCGAGCGTCCATCCTGGTCAGGCAGACCGAACTCCACCTTACGGTCCAGACGGCCGGGACGCATTAACGCTGGATCTAGAGTGTCGGGTCTGTTGGTAGCCATCAGAACCTTGATATTACCACGAGGATCGAACCCATCCAGCTGATTAATGAGCTCCAACATAGTACGCTGCACCTCGTTATCACCACCAGCACCATCATCGAATCGGGCTCCGCCGATCGCATCGATTTCATCGAAGAAAATGAGACAAGCCTTCTTGGAGCGTGCCATCTCAAACAGCTCGCGCACCATACGCGCTCCCTCGCCGACATACTTTTGCACCAGCTCTGACCCGATGACGCGGATGAAACAGGCATCTGTGCGATTGGCAACGGCTCGGGCACAGAGTGTCTTGCCAGTGCCAGGCGGTCCAAAAAGCAACACGCCCTTGGGCGGTTCAATGCCCAAGTTGACAAATTTCTCGGGATGCAACAGCGGAGTTTCCACAACCTCCCGCAGCTTCTCGATCTGCTCCTTGCAGCCGCCAACATCGCTGTAGGTCACATCCGGCTTATCTTCCACCTGCATCATCGTAACTGTCGGATCAATTTTCGGCGGCAGCGGTATGTGGATCTGGTACTTGTTGCGATCGACACCCACACGCATTCCTTCCTCAATATCGGTTGTGGCCACCGAATCGGCCAAGTCCACGACGAACTTCGCAAACTGCTTCACGTTGATAATGTACTTCGGGTCATCCGAGTCGGCGTTGATGATTTTGGTGCAACGTGCCACCTGAAGCGGTTGCTCATTTTGCAGAATTTGCTTATCAGCAGCCAGATCCCAGAGCGCAGGAGGTGCCAGACCTGTGTCGCTCTCCTTGATGCCAGTCAACTCATTGACCTGCTTCACAGCCTTTTGAATGTCTTCTTCGATGTTTTTTATGGACTTGTGGTATTGACTCTGGCCGTATGTCTTCAGAAGTTCGATGTCACCCTCGTCCAGCGACTTTATTTCCTTCTCCTCCTTCTCGTCGTGTTTCACTTTGCGCTGATCATCTCCCAGATAGTCCGGCATCTTGTTGTATAACGAATTTATAATTTCCGACAGCAAAAAGGCAGCCTAGCTATGTTTTTCTTTTGTTTAAATGCAGAATGACTAAACAATTTAGCAAGCACTGTGACCAGTGTGACCGCGGACGGCGGTAAAAATATACGGTCTGACCCTCAGAAATATACCGAAAAATACCGTGTTATTTTAAAAATATACAGTAAAAATACTGACGAATTGTTAAAGTTGTGCACTACCTCTGCAAATGGTCTCTTTACCGCACTGTAACTAAACAAGTTCAAATTTGTCCTTATGCTAAAGTTTATATATGTAGTTCCCTGTTTGATTCTATGCACTTCCTCGCAGGAAGCGAAGGCTTAGTTTTTTGCTGAGCGAAATCCGGTATTTGGTTGGATATAAATGTAATTGGACTTCACTTGATAAATTAGGACGTTGACGACCCTCACCATCGTTTATATTACAGTTCTTATATGTGTACCGAATATGAGCTAAAATTAGCCAGGGCATGGACTCACCTTCATCATTTGGAGACCCATGAGCTCCCTCGTAGTATTTGCTTGCCGCTTTGCTTGTTGATGGTTGATCGTCGTCTACAGAGCCAGATGCATTTACTGCTGCTACAAGGAGTCTCTCGTCCAACATTTGGCGAGCATCCTCCAGTGGGTTGCGTTCAATGGCAGGCTCCCGTTCTATGTTGTGCCTTGGACTGTTGTTGCCGCTTCTGTGCACGGCCGGCAGAGCATCCTGAACACCATTCCCCAAGAGAACATTGTGCACTGTTACAGGTATGCGTATGATGCGATGAGCGTGTATCTCATTGTCGCGGTCTATCATGTTCAGGCGTTTGATATCGGCCACGGAACAATGAAATTTGAGCGCCAACGCTTGCAAGGTGTCGCCTTCTTGCACGTTGACTTCTAGCGTGTTCTCATAGCGAGCCAATCTGGCGTGGCCGTTCGGTCTGTGTCCCAACGGCACCAGGTTGACAAACTCATCATCGTCGTAGGCTGGCCTCGCGAAGATATCCTCCACATTGTCTGGATCTGGATCGTCCCAGTTATAATTTTGGTGGCGCCTGAAAGACAAAGCCCGCGTCATAATACATATGTATATTTTATTTTGTTGACACTCGAAGCAACAGTCGTGTTGGCGCTGACTCTTACACATTGCGTCTCATAGCTGCCTTAGTTCTCGCGAAGGGTTTGTTTCCTTCTTAGGGAATGTCTCGGATGGTGATGCAGGGACTCTTCCTTGCTACGCTTTCAATGCGCCCAAGAAACCAATTAATTAGCTTATATTAAAGGTGTAAAGTATATTTCCAGCCACACAACAACAACAATTACTTGAAAACAGAGCAATCGGTATCGATAGATACCAGTGTTAACAAACAGCTGTTTGTGTTTTCAATGTCCATAGATAGCGTTTAATTTATAGCTCATTATATTACTAAAATGGGGTTTTTTTCGTTCCTAAAGAGCCGCCCCATCTTCTGGCTGAGCGTCACCGGAACTACGGTAGGCGCCGCCTGCGCCATAAAGTCTGGGTTCCCGTATTCATTTACAAATGTCCGGGTTTGACTGCCTTCCCTCTTACAGAGACCTTATGCAAGGCGGCAAATTCACAAAAAAAACCGATGAAACGAACAAAGTATTCATTGTGACGGGGTCGAACAGCGGAATTGGAAAGGAAACGGTCAGGGAACTGGCGAAACGGGGAGCAACCGTTTACATGGCATGTCGAGACATGAAAAAATGTGAGGAGGCCCGAGAGGAGATTGTGCTGGAGACCAAAAACAAATACGTGTACTGCCGTGAGTGTGACTTGGCTTCGCTGGACTCAATTCGGAATTTCGTTGCTGCGTATGTATTTAGTTCTACTCTACCACGGTTTCTCATTATCTTGACTTTTTAGCTTCAAGCGGGAACAGAAAACGCTGAATATACTCATCAACAATGCTGGTGTCATGCGCTGTCCCCGATCACTTACAAAGGATGGCTTCGAGATGCAGTTGGGCGTGAATCATATGGGCCACTTTTTACTTACCACACTGCTATTGGATCTGTTGAAGGTGCTGGCTACAAGCCAAGTGAAGTATTGCTTATTTTGATTGTAATCTGTCTGCATTCTTAGAATTCAACGCCTAGTAGGATAGTCAACGTCTCAAGCCTAGCACATACACGTGGCGAAATCAACACCGGCGACCTGAACAGTGAGAAGTCGTACGACGAAGGCAAAGCCTACAGTCAGAGTAAATTGGCGAACGTCCTGTTCACACGGGAGTTGGCTAGACGACTGGCAGGCACAGGAGTAACGGCTAATGCCTTGCACCCCGGGGTTGTGGATACAGAACTCTTTAGGCACATGAGCTTTTTCAGTAACTTCTTTGCCGGGTTGGTATTGGTACCTGTTGAGAGCGTTACAAAAATTCTTAGGAATCTCTTTTTCTGATTTCAGACTATTCGTTAAGCCTTTGTTTTGGCCCTTCGTAAAGACCGCCGCGAATGGGGCACAAACCAGCTTATATGCGGCTCTCGATCCGGACTTGGAGCTGGTGTCTGGTGAATATTTCAGTGATTGCCAGCCCAAAGAAGTAGCGCCAGCTGGCACTGACACACAGACAGCCAAATGGCTTTGGGCAGTCAGTGAAAAGTGGACAAATCCACCGCCAATCGATGTGAAAAAATAGGATTAAACGTTTATTGCCGTAAAAAGACTTTCTGCCAGTCATAAATGAATCATTTTCTACAATCGAAAGTATTCCTTTCATGTTTTCAATCCTCTGTTAACTTGGCTAACAGCAGAGGTTTCTATTTGCTTTTGACGACAGCTGATCATCGCTGTATGACCGTTTTTAAAATGTGTTCTATACCGAAACCGGTTGCTTGCTAATTTGATCATCATTGGTTTAAAATAGATACTGTGTACATTTTAAGCTAAAAGCCCTCGGTTCAAAAGGTACGTTCCATAGTATCATAGGGAAATACAAGTCCTCTCGCTCGCTCGCTGGTGTCTTCTACTTGTGCTTCCAGTTATCTATGTTAAAGGTTTGATTTGAGCAGCAGTTTTTAGATTATTTGACATTCATATGTAGAGTGTTGCACTATCAATTTTATCAGTCGTCCATAACATATAAAGTTTTGTAGACAATTCGCTGGTCGCAATCTGGAATATCACTCACTTACGTCTGGACACTGAACGAGCCAAGAATGGAAATTATTATAAATTTTCTGCAAAGCATTGCCCCATTCTTTGTGGCACATGGAATTGTTGGAATTATTGCATTATGCGTGAGGTAATTATCGACTCGACCCAAAGTTAAATGTAACACCGATAGGTGTTATCAAATTTGAGAGTGACATGGAAACATTACTATCAGAATTAGAATTTCACAATCTGGACACCAATGAAATAACTATTGTATTACCTCGCCACAGGCTATATATGCAGGGGGAAAAGTTCAAGAAGCGCTCGAATGAGACGGGCAAAGTGGCAATTGTGACTGGCGGAAATACGGGTCTCGGCAGAGAGACTGTGCGTGAGCTCGCGCGAAGAGGAGCTACTGTGTACATGGCATGTCGAGACAAGGATAAGGGGGAAAAAGCTCGCAAGGAGATCGTGAAGGAAACGAAAAACTCAAACGTTTTCTCTCGGGAATGTGACTTGTCCTCTTTGGATTCCGTTCGGAACTTTGTCGATGGGTGAATCATTCGTGAACCGACATTCGTACTTTTTATCTAATCAAATCGACCTCGACAGTTTCAAGAAGGAGCAAGATAAGCTGCATATCCTGATCAACAATGCCGGTGTCTTCTGGGAGCCGCGTAGTCTCACCAAAGAAGGCTTCGAAATGCACTTGGGAGTCAATCATATCGGTCACTTTCTTCTCACTCACCTGTTGCTGGATTTACTGAAGCAGTCGGCACCTAGTCGCATCGTAGTCGTTTCTAGCAAGGCGCACGAGCGGGGCCGTATCCAAGTGGATGACATTAACAGCAAGCTGTCCTATGACGAAGGAGCAGCCTACTGCCAGAGCAAACTGGCGAACATACTCTTCACTCGGGAGCTGGCGAGACGTCTCGAGGGCACCGCAGTAACAGTTAATGCTCTGAATCCAGGCATAGCAGACACGGAAATAGCGAGGAATATGATATTCTTTCGAACAAAGTTGGCCCAGTATGTAGTAGAGTGTGTCCAGTTCACCCTTGCCCCCTTGGGTATATTAAAAATTCTCGTGTGCTTTCAGGACCATTCTCAGGCCACTGCTTTGGTCTCTCATGAAGTCTCCCCGAAACGGTGCCCAGACAACACTCTTTGCAGCTTTGGATTGCGACCTGGATCACGTGTCGGGTCAGTACTTCAGCGACTGTAGGCCGAAAGAATTAGCTCCTGCTGCCAAAGATGATGATATGGCCAGGTGGTTGTGGTCACAGTCCGAGAAATGGACGGGTATTGGACTTTGAATTGGGCTGGGGGTATTTTTAAGTATGAGCTGCAATTTTCTTTATAAATCAAATTAGGAACGTCTCGCGACAATAGATAATTTTGGCCAAACCATATCACACACACTCACACTTAGAAGACGCGGAGATGATCTGCTCGGAGAGGGAAAACTATCCTATTAACTTGGTAATAGGCAGGTCGATCCCTGACCAGAGCACTAAAGCAGCTCGTAACCGCCAACACATCCGGCACAGGTATACCCTAACTTTAGTAACGTGTCAAGGACTTTCGGCGTGGAAAGACCATGACCATGTTCATGGCCGCCTAATTTAGACAGTGTATACAGTAAATGTGCAACGAAGCCGCCAAATTGGCATAGCTCAAATAGAACATTTAAATTACGCGCAAATCGTAACGTACGTATCACGTAAACGAACTTCGTTGCCCTGTATCGGTACTATATAATGGTTTAATTTATAATCTTCACCAATCTATTGAATTTCATTTTCAAAGGTATAAAGGAACCCAATAAAACCAAGTATTTAGAATAAGCCAGTCAAGTAGAAAATTGATTCAATAATCGGATAAAATTATGTGGGCACGGCTAACTGTTCTATGTAGCTTATTATATTTGACGGAACATCAAAATTAAGCAATATGGTTTCAATGCTTGCCGGAGAACCATTAACCTTTTATAAGCCAAGGGGGTAATCATTTTAGCGCAGTTCATATGAAAGATTCGTGGGGTTTGGCAAGTTAAAGGGAAGGATAGGATGGATCTATAAGAATGTACAATTGTTAATATTTTCCGCCATTTACCTTGAGTAGTTGAACTATTTAAATATAGGGGGCTTAAGTGGGCTAAGCTCGGGTTTCCATCATACGAGTCGCTATATTGTTGTTGAGCAACAAAAATTAAGGCAAAAACAATCAAGGGCCAAGTGCCGGAAAATTGATTCATTAATCGGATAAAATTATCGGATAATTCTATATAGCTAGTAATATTCCAAGGAATATCAAGAACTGGATTCGTCAGTATATACTTACTGTATATTTTTAAAATGAGATGGTATATTTCTGAGGGTCAGACCGTATACTTTAGCGGATTTTCCTTTTTTCTTACCACCACGTCTAGCTCACACACCACGCAATTTTATGTACTTTTCATAGTATTTTCTAGTACTTTCCAGTATATTTTAAGACGCGTTATAGACTCACCCTCTTGTGCAATGCACCAATGTAGAAGCCGAGTAGAAATGACACATAAAACCATGTTCCAGGCCACATTGAAAACTTATTCGTGATCAGCATCGAATTCCTGATCGTTTACCATCAAAACCTCAACCAAACGCCAGGTTTTTCACACTGGCGCTTCCATACGGATAATATGAAAAAAAAACAACGGGCAAACGTACACACTTTCCCGTCAAGTGTCGCCTTTGGTAATTACATACAAGTGTAGTTAATATGTAGCAAATGTGAAGTTATCGTGTAGTTACCATGCAAAAAAATATTTGTAGTGGAAATTTTTGTTGACCGGTTTGGCTTAAACCTTATTTTATCAACAGTTATTAATGATAACTTAAATTGTAGGAAATTAATGTAGTAATCCGAAAAAATAATGAGTTCAGAGCTGAGCGTCTTAGCTAGCTGTTAATATTCAACCGAACATCAAAAACTAGGAATATGATGGAATTTGAATACAAATAATTCGTCAGTATATTTACGGTATATTTTGAAATTTGTGACGTTTGACTCATAATATTAAGTGGCATATTCATGCCAAATTGTTGAACTTTCGAATTATAATTATAATGCTTGTAAATCGCTCGCTCTGTAGGAGCTGGCTCTCCCAGGTGACGTAAGTAGGGGGCAACGGCGGTGTACGGGTCAGATTAACCACAGTTCGAGATCCCACAGACACAGATATGCAAATGGTCAAAATTTTTCATGCCGACACATAGTACCTGCACCGCGATCCAAGCCACCAGCACGATACGTTCACGGCAACAGTAAACAGAACAGCAATGTAAAGCCCTCGGGCGGGGAGCCGGTCCCAGAAAGCACAACCGTTCCGAACAACAACTTATTCAAGGCGGTCGCATTCACAGGCGCAGTAAGTAATCCATATGTGTTCCATATGAAGGTCTTTCTGTATGTCTTTTCGATTACAGTTTACGGTGGGATGCTTTACCAGCGCCACCATCTGGGAATACGAAAACACACGGAGTCTGATCATTGCCAAGGCTAAGCAGGCGCAATTTGGTTGGTGGCAGAGTCGATCGCTCGTGGAACGCAGCAGTTGGTCGCAGCTGAAACTGGAAATCCGCCAGCACTGGGACAATCTGAACACTGGCGAAAAGGTGTTTGCCCCCATCTGCCTTGTAAATCTGTTGGTATTTGGTCTGTGGCGTGTTCCACGTCTGCGAGCCACAATGATCACGTATTTCACATCCAACCCGGCTGCGCGTAAGTCAGGCGAGACCTTCAACCGAATCATTCGTTATGAACACCTGTTTCCCTGAGCAGGCATCGTTTGCTGGCCCATGTTTCTGTCCACTTTCAGCCACTACTCAGCCATGCACATATTCGCCAATATGTATGTGTTGCACAGCTTTGCCAACGCCGCGGCTACGTCGCTTGGCAAGGAGCAGTTCCTTGCCCTTTACATGAGCGCCGGAGTGTTCTCCAGTCTGATAAGCATTCTGTACAAGGCGGGCACGCGACAAGTGGGCATGTCTCTAGGAGCGGTGCGTATGCAAAGGCAAGGTTTCCCTCGTACCTTCAAATAAACCTTGTAATTTTCCTCTAGTCTGGAGCGATCATGACAGTGCTGGCATACGTGTGCGCCCAGTATCCAGATACCCAGCTTAGCATATTGTTTCTTCCCGCCCTGACGTTCTCCGCCAGTGCAGGCATAAAAGTGATTATGGGCATTGACTTTGCGGGCTGCGTGATGGGATGGAAGTTCTTTGACCACGCGGCGCATTTAGGAGGAGCCATTTTTGGCATGTAAGTAAACTGTAGAATGTGGCGGTTGATTTTCACTCACTCACTTGTTTATCCACAGATTCTGGGCGTATTACGGTACACAGCTGTGGGCGAAACGCCTAACCCTGCTGAACTACTACCACCAGATCCGCGAATCGAAGCCGAAATAATGACAAATCCAAACCCTTTCCAACAAGAAACAAATTCAGTTCTGCTCATAGTTACGGATATCGTTTAGTCCACCGGGGGCTCCTTACAATGTGTGGAAAGTAATAAAAGGTCAGACTCGGTCGTGTATTTATCCCTCTTCATTTCATTCTCTTTTTGGCCGGTGTTGAGTCCGTCTGGTCTGTGCGATTTCGCCTAGTCCGATTGGCCACCTCCTGGCTTCGTTTCATCAGTTTCTCCCGCAGCTCTTGTAGAGTCTCTCTTTCAGGCGCATAAGAGATGTGAAGGGTTCCGCCGTAAAACTGTTTGGCATCCAACTGCCGCTTTGCTCGTCGTGCTACCTCGAGCCGCTCAAACTGTACGGCAAAGACGTCTGTAAAAGCCTCCAGTTCCACTGCAAACAGGAGTAACTTAGTTCTGTGATCAAGTGATCATGCCAGTGTTTTGCACGCACTCTTTGCAGCCATCTCCGGAGTTATACACGCACACGACTGCAATTTTCCAAAGCATTGCAGCTTGGTCTTGAGATTTCCCTGAAGGTTTATTTTAGGCACTCCGAAGATCAGCAAGTACCTCGATTCGCTTGCAACAGTGTAGACCTGAAAAACTAGCCATTCGTTATGGGCAAAGCTATCTAGTTTCTGTATCCGTACCTTAACTGCCTTTAACTCCCGCCCCTGTCGATATGGAAGTCGTGTGGTGCAGTATTGCAGTTGCTTGTGGTGGTCGGTAGTTGCAGAGTCCATAAGAAACAAAATTTCGAAAGGAAAACAAATTAATTTATTTTTCTGCAAGCCGGCGTCTTAAAATATACTGGAAAGAACTAGAAAATACTATGAAAAGTATAAAATCTGCAAGGTGTGTTAGCTAGATATGGTAGCAAGAAAATCAGTGTGACCAAAATAAATACCGATAACAAAGCGGAACTTAGCCCACTTAGACCCCCTCTACTATTCCCGCCTAAAGAAAATATGGGTTGTTTTTGTTTTTCGTTGTTATCATTTTCTGCTTCTTCTCCAGTGCCATTCACATCAGGATTCCCATGTGTATTATTTTCGTATTTTTGAAAGTGAGACTGTATATTTCGGTATATTTCTATGGGTCTGACCGATAATTCCGTTTTGGCGGGAAAAGTAAATAGCTTGCCGCCCGGCATATAAGCCAAGAACCGCCGTTTTTCCAATCATTTTATTGTGAAATTTCAGACAACATACAACAGGTTTTCCGCGTAATATATTAACTTTTCTGACGACACTTTTTAAGAAAAATCAACTACAAAATGTCTCAGGTTGCTTCCAAGGAAAATATTGCCGACAACATGGAGAAATTCTCGCTGAAGGTAAGTGACACGTTTATGCAATGTAATTTACATGCATGCATTCGAATGCACATTACAAGTATATAGGCTATACATAGCCACTCGTTTTTCATGTGTATGTTCCCGTGTGACTACGTGAAATGGAGCAATATCGCGCATCACAACAAATGTACATACATACTATACATTTTTAAGGGTTTGCTAACCATTCAATTTACATATTTATCATACTATGCATACATATTTAGAGCCCCAGCAAGAAGGTATTGACTGAAAACGCCAGCAACGTTCGCAAAATGTCCTTTGGCAATGAAGAGAATGGCGCAGTTAAGGAAGCCGACCCCGAAAAGCCGGCGCAGTCCATTATGGAGAAGACCGGATCGCCGTTTGACCCTTCTATTGAGCCCCTGCTCCGGGAGAATCCACGCCGCTTCGTTATATTCCCTATCCAGTACCACGACATCTGGCAGATGTACAAAAAGGTATGTACATGTGTGTGCTTGTATGTTTGCGTATGTGTATGTGTCTTCTTCTGGCGGGTAATTTCATGATAAAGCGCGCCAAAATCTAGTCACGTCGGTTGCGTGCACGATTGCATGAATCAAACTTTATGATAGGGCGTCTGCAGCCCCAGCCCTTGCGGTATGTGTTTACTTAATGAAACATGAACACGTTTTTGCGCGGGAGATCCAACCAAAGCTAATAACAACTAAAATATGTATTGAAAATGCACTGTATCATACATGTTAATAATTTGACATTGTATTCATCTCGCAGGCGGAAGCCTCCTTCTGGACCGTGGAAGAGGTGGATCTATCGAAGGACGCGACGGACTGGGCCCGTCTCACTGACAACGAGCGCTACTTTATCTCCCATGTGCTGGCCTTCTTCGCTGCCTCGGACGGCATTGTTAACGAGAATTTGGTCGAGCGCTTTAGTCAGGAGGTGCAGATCACAGAGGCACGTTGCTTCTACGGCTTCCAGATAGCCATGGAGAATGTGCACTCCGAGATGTACAGCGTGCTCATTGACACCTACATACGGGAGCCGCAGGAGCGCGACTACTTGTTCAATGCTATTGAGACCATGCCGGCTGTAAAGCGCAAGGCGGACTGGGCCATGTCCTGGATATCCTCGAAATCGGCCAACTTTGCCGAGCGTATTATTGCCTTTGCGGCCGTGGAAGGAATCTTCTTTAGTGGCAGCTTTGCCTCGATCTTTTGGCTGAAGAAGCGTGGTCTCATGCCCGGTCTGACCTTCTCCAACGAGCTGATCTCCCGTGACGAAGGTCTTCACTGCGACTTTGCGGTGCTCATGTATCACCATCTAGTGCAGCGGCCCAAGCGGGAGCGCATCATCGAGATCATCAGGGATGCTGTGGAAATCGAGCAGGAGTTCCTCACTGAAGCCCTGCCCGTCAATTTGATTGGCATGAACTGTGTTCTCATGTCCCAGTACATCGAGTTCGTGGCCGATCGGCTGCTAGGGGAGCTCGGTGTGGGTAAGATCTACAACACTAAGAATCCTTTCAATTTCATGGAGATGATCTCGCTGGACGGAAAGACAAACTTCTTTGAGAAGAAGGTGGCCGAGTACCAGCGCATGGGTGTCGTAACAAGTCGCTTGGACAACGTGTTTACCCTTGACGCCGATTTCTAGGGCTGGTCCCGTCCGAGGGCTGGCATCTCAATATTAATATGTAACCAAGAGTTTTTATATGTACTTTGTAATAGAAATGTAATTTAGATTAAGATCAATCACCTCCCCATTTTTAACCTGACCTAGAATCTTTCGATGCACTTGACCTAGAGCAACACAACATTATTGTATATAAAACATGATAAATAAATTAAGATATAGACAAAATATATACACTAAATGGACGAGTCTTATATTTTTGTAACGCCAATTTGAGCGGGCGGCAAATAATATTCTCAATGGCGGGAAAAGACTTGTAGATCGCCGGCCTAGATTTGAATGAAGGCATATGTACTGTAGGTAGCGTGTGTATGCTTTACATTTTACGTGTATCGATAGTCACGAGGGACGTAATCAGCTGGATAGCAGCTTTTATCAGTTTTTAAGGGTGATGTGATTGTTGCTGTTGTCTGTGAGCCGCAAATAATTAATTCAAATATTCCACTTCTGTTCATTTGTTATAATCAGTGCAATCACACTGCTGCTGCTGCTTGGATTATCAATTGGCATTGAAAAGATGCGCGGCAATACCTGAAATGCAAACAAAACGAACGCCGACCACAGTGAGATTGCAGAACATAAAGATCAAATGAACAACGCAGGCACTGGCGATGAGGAGCAGTGTGCTCTGCTGGCGGACTCGTCCGTCAGCTCTGGGTCGACGGCATCTGTCTCCGATGAAGAGACAGCTGCAAGGCAGCCCAGGATCAAGCTGCGGGGAACCATGAAGCTGCAGCGGCGAACGCGCTTGCCTCTGCCAAGAATTTTGCGTCGGTTTGGATGCTACACCCTAATGGCATTATTTATTTTCCTTCTGCTTCTTGTCTACCTGCCATTGATGTACATGGATGGGCATAAGCGTCGAGGTATGAGAAGCCGCTCAGGATGCTGAGCTCTATTGTATTGATCTTCTTTTCGTTTCATATTCCGTTGTCAGTGGGTTTACCGGACTGGACACTGGAGACCTCCCGGAGCATAGGCGATTACATAGACCCTGTGCAGGAGACAGCGCTGATTGTGCCGCGGGAATTTTGTCGGAACAAAACCTTCCTGATAATCGCCGTTTGCACTAGCTTAGGCAACTTCAACCAACGACAGACAATACGCGAGACCTGGGGAAACACTTCGGAGTTTAACTACGGAGCCTTTGTGAAGTTACATGGTCACCTCAAGGGAAACTACTTGCCACCGATGACGGCGCGCCTGAAACATTATGCTGAGTACCTAAGCGGTGAAGGTGATTCATTGTCTGCCTCCGTACGAATTGTGTTTATTGTGGGTCGCAGCAAGTACGAATCCCTTGTGGGTAACGAAACGTTATCTCGAGTTCACAGCGAGGCGGAGCAGTACAACGACATTATTCAGGAGAGCTTTGTAGATAGCTACAACAATCTCACACTCAAGTCGGTGATGGCCTTGAAGCACATAAGCCGAAGTTGTGCCAATAGTACCGCGTACTTCCTCAAGTGCGACGACGACACCTTTGTAAATGTCCCCAATCTGCTGCACTTCCTGCTCGGCGGCTCCGTTCCGCTGTACAATGATACTCTGGACTATCACGATCGTTACACATTCCTTGTGAAGTCGCCGCAGAATCGATTGAACGACACGAGCGGGGTGATGTACGGACACCAGTTCTGCAACGTGGTGCCCGTGAACGATGTTAGCAGCAAGTGGTACATGCCCTCCTATATGTATCCGCCGGAGTCCTATCCAAAGTATTTGTCTGGAGCCGGCTACCTTCTCTCTATTGATGTGGTGCAGCGACTGTACGAGGCCTCCCTGAACACGACGCTTGTGTACTTGGAGGACGTGTACATCACCGGACTGTGCGCCCAGCGTGCCCATATCACGCGACATCATCACCCGCTCTTCAGCTTTGCCCACTCAAAGCATCTGTGCGCCTTCAAGGGCAGCATTACGCAGCATCAGGTAAAGGACGACACCATGGTGGAGGCATGGAACTATGTGTCCGACTACAAGATTAGGTGCGCGCCGCCAGGTCGTTACTTCAACCACATGCGATTGCACAAACGCCCAAATTGTTAGTAATAGAAGCGCCCAAGACAGGCTTGAATAACATTAGATGTTCTTCTTGCCCCTACTTTTTAAAGACCCAGAAATACTTCATTATTATTTATACACGCCGCACAATTTGTTATTACTCACAAGAACCCACTTTATGTTCCTGAAATTATAATTAACAGAATACTCTAGCACATCTGACATGTCCACATATAAGAAAAGTGATATATTAACCCCAACCAACCAATCAACTCATAGATATAGTGCTTGTATTATTTTCTACCCCGTTACATTGAAGATCGCAACGTGTATTGAGTTTTTCTTATTCGCATCCGATGTAATATTCTTCTGTCAGATCTAATTGATCTAATCGAATGTAATTTGACTGTGCAGAAGCTCCATTAGTCCATATCAACTTTAAATGTATTGCATATAAGGTATATCACATAAATACATACATGTAAATGTACTCCTCCGTTCTAAGCTTCCGATTTGTTGAATCAAATAAAACAAATGTAGACTACACTAGATGTTTAAGTATTTATTTTTATTAATATAATATCCTAAGTACTAAATATTTTCTACTGGCTTGCTTTCTTGATCAGTTTCTGATTGCAAAATTTACTCATAAATTTTATAAATGGAGCAGTCCCAGATACTCGTACCATTTCAGACCATCTTTAGATCGATGCCGAACTGCGTTAGCATTTCGGGAATATAACAATGAATGATTAAATGCAATACATAACACTATCCTATCATGAAGATTTGTGTACAGAATGGAAAGGTAATCCCAAACATACCGATTCTGGTGTGAAAATATTAGATCTATGCTGCCAATAGCACTTTAAATAAAGACATTTTCTGGGCGCCAAAATACTTTGCATTAATTGGAGTAATTCCCCATGAACATGCAATAACATTATAATTAATTCATTCAGTTTGTACAGTTGTGAATCATAAATCAAAAAATATGAACAAAAATTTAGAAATATGTGATTATGTTATATCGAATTGCCAAATACGATTCGTAAAACAAGTTAAATTCAATTTAAACCAAAATTAAAGTTACTAAACAAATGATTGGCTGTTTTCTTGTATCTCATTGGATCTATATACATATGCATAAACGACCAATGTGATATTGAAATACAGGGTGTCGAGGTCTTACGCAAAGTTGTCGTCGGGACCTCGAATGATCACCACAAACTAGCCGAGGAGTTGCCGGGTGGTAGTCGCATTTGAAGTAGACTCCTCCGAAGTCGTGACTTTCGAATCGACATTTTCGTGTAAGCCTGCCAAATATGCTTCGGCGTTGTCAACCGTCAAGGTAACAGTGGATTTAGAAGGAGTCGTTCCGTTCTCAGTCAGTGGTTCAGATTCACGTGGCGAATTGCAGACCTCCCCGATTTGATTTTCTTTTGGGATGGGTTCACGCGGTGGCATCACCGAAGTTTCTGTGTCAGTTTCGGGAGCTACAATTTCAAGATTGCTATCCGCTTCCGCTGTAGATACTATGGGACTGGGATTGCAAAGGTCTTTTAGTCCCATACCATCCACATCTTTTGCTTCATCTACTGCATCAGTTTTTTCACTGGGGATGTCTATGTCCATTCTTTCCAGCGGCTTAGCAGCGAAGCTTTCAGTGGAAGTGTCCATTGCTTCATTAAACTTAGATTTTTCTTTATCCGAACATTTCTCCTTCAGAACTTCGGCTTCGGGCTCTATGATTTCCAAGTCTTCACGTACAACTGGGTTTATACTTAAGAATTCCTTTTCGTCCACCTGATCAACAGCTGCTGCTCCAGCTTCAGGCTCGGTTTGAGCTTCCGTTTCAGGCTCGGTTTGAGCTTCCGTTTCAGGCTCGGTTTGAGCTTCCGTTTCAGGCTCGGTTTGAGCTTCCTTTTGCTGCTTGTCTCCTGCTACTCCTAACTTTTGGTGATCATCATCTGCAATCTTTTCCCTCGGGACCTCTGATTTGTCATTCTCCGCCTTTTCCGTTTCTTTGTCTGCTTCTTGTTTATTCGGGCTGGACTGCCCTGTACTGCAGAGTTGCGGTTCTTTTTCTTCTTGGATAGGAATCTCATTGGGTCCGTCGGCTGGCGTTTTTTGAGCATCGGTCTTTGTCTGATGAGCTTTACTCCAAATCTTGTTCTGCTTATCGCGGTTCTTAGCCCATTTACGCGCCACCTCAAACTCTTCCTCGGCTCGTCGCAACACGACCCTGACTTTCATTTTCAACTTGGCATCGGTGTGCTTGATCTCCTCCATGCGCTGGCGCTCTAATTGAAGCAATGCTGGATTCGGCTTGTTCGTTGTCTTTTTGCGAGGCTGCTTTTTGTGTCCTGGTGAAACGGACTTGGGCTCGGCAGTGCCCTCGGTGATGTCCACTTCGAGAAGACTGGCCAAGATGGTTGAACTAAAGGCAGCCATATCGGCCTCACTCGGCGGCAATTCCGCGACTTGATTCTTCAGTGCTTCCGTTTTCGGAGCCTGAGACGCAACAGAAGTTATCTTTATGATCTTCTTGCTGTTCGAGTCCGAGCACCCGTCGTCTTCGTTGTCCGAATCAATGGTAATGGTATCCGTCTTGGGCTCCACAATCTCGATCTCGTTATCCTCGTCATCGCTGGCTTGTTTATCTGCAAGAGACAATCAAAATTAGCAAAATACATAGAAATGATACTTGATCAGTTTTTTGTAAGCTAAGAACTCATTGAGGGTCGTATTTAAACAGAGGTTGGAAATTTTTTATTCGATCTTGGTTTCGGTTGGTTATACATAAACTATGTTTAGATTGGCTGGAATGACATTGGAATTAAATGTTGAGGAAACGCATCTCCTCTAGAGGGAAGTTTAAGCGCAGTTTTTGAAGAGTCTTTTCATTGGGATGCGGCTGTCGATTCAGTTCGCGGCAGTAGCATTCATAGGCAAATTTGGCCATTTGCCAGCGCTGCTTGCATGTCTGAGCATCTCGCTTGAAGCGTGGAAGGCGCCGGGCCACCTCAGGCCAGAGGCGCTCCCGTGCAGTCACATCATTGTAGTCCGCGTGACGTGGATTCCACAGAGTGGGGTAGGCGCGCATAGCCAGCACCAGTTGCTGAGCAAACTGATTGTCGTCGGCCATGTCCTTTAGTTTGCTGTCGGACTTATTCCCATTCTGTACACAATCCTGCTGCGGCTCAAACTCATCGCGCAAGTCCTGCTCATCAATTTTATAGAGAAAGAACAAGCTGGCCAAATATTTTGAATACTTTAGCTGTAGGTTGGCATGCAATCTTTCGTCCTTGATGGTCCTGAGGCGGAAGGTCTTGAACATTTCGTACATCTGCTGCCAGCGCCCTACCAGGTAATCGCATTGATAGTCTGGAAAAGGGGAAAAAAATTGCTTAAACGGGAACTAATCAACGATGTCCTCCTAGAGGACTACTTACTGGTTGCCGATTTACAAAAATTTAGCCACAGCGACTTCCGCGTCTGCTCGTCAATGCTATTGAACTCGGGATCAGCCGACTTGCGCCACAGTACGGGATGGCTCTTGGCAAAGTTAATGATACGCATGTCAATATCCCGCACGGGCACTTGTCTCGCCCTCACCGGCTTCCGCACATCCGCCTGCTTCGTCTGCCTTGTTCCGTGATCTTTGTCCATAGTGTTTTCAATGACGTCCAGTTGCTTGCGCTCAAAGCCATCCCCATCGTCTTCGCCACAGTCCACCTCCAGCCACTGGCTTCGTGGCAGGTCCCTGTTGGCCAGATAGTTGGTGGCCTTGTCAAAGTAGCCCTTGAAGCGCTTCCCCTGACGGTTGCGGCGCTCGATGCGCACATAGCGTTTGCGCACGTTCTTCCAGCGAAGCTTAATGTCGTCGCCGCGCGGAAAGTGGCTGGCTATGACGCGCCACTGCTTGCGTGTGACCTCCATTTTGCCGTAGTCCGGGTGATGAGTGCACCAGATCGACGGATACTCGCGCAGCAGTCTCGTCAGCTTGCGATCGTAGGCATGAGCCTGTTCGTTGCGGTTCATGCTCTCCTCAGTGCCCAGTTCGGCGAGGTCCTCGCTGTCCAGGTCATCATTGTCATCGTCCAAATCATCATCCAAGTCGTCAGGCTCATCATCAAACTCGTAGCTATCGGCATCGGCCCCATCGTTGTCATTATCTTTTTTGGGCACCGACTCGAATGCACTTGCATTCTCGTTCTCCTTTTCTGGTTCTTCGTCGTCAATGGGATCGCCCTCGGCTCGTACTCCCAGCGGCATTAGAGGCGGCAATGGCTCGCAGTCTTCTCCCTCCTTGAGATTCGCATGTAGACTCTTGCGGTATTCATACACTTGGTTGTGGAAGCTGTTGCAACCTGTGTTGAAGAGATCCACATCGTCGATTTGGCCAAAGCAGACATAGTCGACGGCTGGAAGCACACAAAAAGTGATAGCGAGAGATTAACGTTTAGGGAAAAACTGCTTCTGGGTTCTATTCCATTGCCTCTTTGGATAGTATTTTGCAAACACATGGACCAAGCTAAAACCAATCGCTATCGCAGCCAAGGAAATGGAACTTGCAGTTTTCCCTAAACAGACAATCAGTGGATCACAGGATACTTACATACATGCAGCCGTGCCTCCTCTCTCTATCCTCCCATTGCCATTCAGCAAGAGCAGGGACAGAAATAAACACTCGCGCACAAACACGAACGAACGAAAAATGAACAACTGACAACGCCCGTCCATGTGTCGAAAATATTCTCCAAAGACAATAATAGAGATACTCTCGCCCCCCATCTTCTTACATTATAAGAATATTTGGAGCCAGGTGGCTACCGAACGGTGGCTTACATCTGAGAAATTACTTGGTAGAGACTTACCGGCAGCCAATTGGCCGTTCTCCAGGCTGTTGGCATCGTTCTTAAAGCCCATTTCACGCATATCGACCAGGCACTTCTCCTGCAGATGTTTGAAGCGTCCGATGGCATAAGTCATCAAATAGGACATATGAATGTACAGCTCCTTTAGATCCATATAGCTGCGCGCCTGATTATAGGCATTCGAATGGGTCAGAGAGACCACTTTCCCAGTAAGATGAGTGCATATGTCCATGGCATTGAATATCTGCTCCTGCAGCTGAGCACGCGCCTGTCCAATGGCGCTATTGGGAAACACATGGCGCATCAATGCAGGGCCCTTGTTCGGTTGCACCGTAGATATCATTGTCCCTGCTCCCCCATTAGCGTTCGACTGCGCCGGTAAAGACCCGCCACTGGCACTGGCACTTGCACTTGTCTGACTAACATTTCCCAGGCGCACAACTTGCGGAGCTCGCTGCTGTTGGTTGATCTGCGGATTGTAGATTCCCATATTGCTGCCCATGTTAGATGCCATGGCTGACGGTGTGCCGACTGGGCTAGGGTTTGTGCTGGGCACTTGGCGAACGGTCGTCGGAGCGGTTGCAAGAGAACGGGGTCGAATTAGGACCTGACCCATCGGACCCACAGACATCGGAGTGGGGGGCGTTAAAGCGGTTGCAGGCTGACTACCGGGTGGCATCTGGCGCTTGACCTGGATGAGCCGTCCATTGGGCAGGCGGTACGAGTCCTGCTGGGCGGCGCTATTCAGATCGACGCGGAATCCGTTGATGGTGTGGAAGACGGGCCCAGTGCTCCGAACGCTATTGGGCACCACGGTTCGACGCACAACACTGGCTGGTGAATTTTGGCGGTACCGAACGCCCGAGCCACTCAGCACCAGCGGGGGCGGCAGGCTGGTCCGAGGAGAAGATGTACCATTGTTGCTGGGACTGGGACTGGGTCCTGTATAGTTTTGCTGTACGGTAACAATCCGTGGCGTGGTGGTTGTTATATTAGCCGGTGGGGCCGGGAGACGAGTTGACGCCTTTGGGCTCATTGAGATCTGACAGTCGGGCTCCAGCATGCTCAGCAAATCGGGAGTGCAGACGACTTCGTCGTTTGACGTCTTGGGTCGCTTAGTAGGTGGACCTTGCTGCTTTGGCGCCGGGCCCTTTTTAGCAGAGCTCACGGAACTGGTGTGGCTGCGCTTCGAAGCAATTGATTCAAGGCTCTCCGCGGAATCGGAAAGGCTGTTTGCCTTCGCCTTGGCAAGACGGCAGCACGTACTGTTGTCCTTCATCATCTGGCGGCGCGCCTCCACTTCGGGCAGTTGCAGACTCTGCAGGCCGCTGCGAACATAAAAGGTATTGAAACGTCACTATTTGATGTGAGGAAAAATCCATGGCCACAGTACCCACCGCTTTTGTGTTTGGATGTAGTTGACTAGAGCCCAGTGCTGGGCGCGCAGAGGCCATAGGATTTTGGGTGTGCAGTTGAAGCAGTTCCAATTCTCGTTCTGTTCAATGTCCATAATGATGTCGCGCGACAGATTCTTGACGATGCAAGACTTGCAGAAAACATACGGACATGTGGAGCAGCAATAGACCTCGCCGCCCTGGCCACACCAGCGGCAGTAGAGCTCCGAGCCATCCTCGCCCTTGGAGAACTCTCCGCTGTTGTAAAAATCGTGGCACTTGACGCAGTGCGTCACGCGCAGAATGGGGTGCATCTTGATGGTGCACTCCGAGCCAGGGGCCGTTCCCATGTGCAGTTTGCATACAGTGCAGTGGACTTTTCGCTGGTTGATCACATCGACGGTTGGGTACGCTTTAAGATAGTAGCGACGCTCCTCGTCAGAAAGGCTCAAGTGCATCTCATAGTTCGAACCTGTTAAAACACGAGCCACGAACACGGTCTGAGCATTAGCATTGAAGTCCCTAAGAATCGGCGTATCGCTTTCTTACCTGAGAAGTCCACATCGAGTTTGGCCAGTGGGGATGGCAAGGGCGTCGTGGCCGGCACCAGCAGCACCTCGCTGTTTGGAGTGCTGCTCATATTGCGGCGCTATGGAGTCCCACGTGCAAAAAAATGTATTGCCAAAATGATGTACTTCTGTACAGAAGCGTCCGCGCGGAAGACAGGCAGCACCACAAAGCAATAACAACAAAGCGGCGCGGCAATTAGGTTCTTTGCAAAAACACAAACGCAACACTATCGAGTGTTTTTTAATTGCGTCCCGGGCAAAAGATCTTGCAAATTTTGGCTGCTATTGAAAATGATTATTTTTTTCATTGAAGCACAGTCCGATTCCCACAGTGAAAATGATTTTTTTCACAGCAAAAAATTTCAATATGGCGTCCCCTTCGGGTTGTCCGAACCGAGTGGTGAGCACGCACGAAGTTGTTTGAAATGAAAATCGGGTTTAAACCTTTATCTGTTTTAGGAGGGAATTACTTTTGAATCGGTCACCAAATGATCCTCACAGTTGGAAAGCTTTAAAATACAAAACAACTGTCTGGAAATGATGAGAAAAATTGATCGCATTCAAGTCTATACAACAATATAAACCAACACCAAATTTTTCAGAAATGTAAAAAAATTTTTAAACTTGTTTCTGTTTGATAAAAGCTTAAATATTTAATAAAAAGTAAAAACGACTTGGTCGTTTGCGTACTTGGCAACCCTACATCTATCCTGTTGTCTCGTTCCCACTGCTGTCAGACCCATTAAGACCCGAACCCGAAGAGAAAATGCGCCATCTTGAATTACAGTTTCCATGAGTTACATAAAAAAAAATATTTTTATAATTTGAAATCAACGAAGAAGTGTTTTCTATTTTTTTAAGCCAGAAAGACTTAATATTGGCAAATAAATTTATTTAATTAAAAGCAAGCAAAATGTACATAGTGTGACCAAAACTTGTCCAACGTAGTTTGTGAAGGTAATCGAAGCGAGCGATAGTTAGTGTAATCGATAGGTGCATCCGAGGCGTCAGCAATTGTTGCTACTTTCTTTGTTAAAAAAAAAAGACGAATTCTCTGGATCTAATCGTTTTAAAGTGTGCTAGCAATATTTAGGAGTCTATATAAAATGCAGACATCATAAAAATGTGATCTGAAGTGTGCTTGGAAACTTTGAGCATCTATAATTGGATAAACAAAATTGTATTGATGACTTATTTAATATATACACGCATGTATGTACATAGGTGCATCTACAACACATGAATGCACTTTTTTATTCATATTCGCTTATTCTTAGTGTGTTGCATTATCTTGCAGGGTCTGAGCTCTGAGCACGTCATCAGTAAGAAGAGAAGCCTTTTGCTGTTCCATTGATAAGCACATCCGCAAGAGCGAAAAAGTGCAATTGACCGGAGACTTGCGTACAACCGCACCCTAAATAAAAAAGCCGATACCACATTATGCCGATATTGTATAGCGTCATCTCGCGCGGCACCACGGTGCTAGCCAAGTTTGCGGAGTGCGTTGGAAACTTTGCCGAAGTGACGGAGCACATTATTGGTCGGATTGGGGTGCACAACCACAAGATGACCTACACCCACGGCGACTATCTAATTCACTACTCATGCGACAACAAGCTGGTTTACATGTGCATAACCGACAATGTGGGTTGAATGAACTGTGGCGGCCCTAAATACATATTGCTAATTAATTATATCTACTTTCAGGAGTTTGAAAAGTCGCGAGCTTTCTTTTTTCTGGCGGATATCAAGCAAAAATTCATACAGACCTATGGGCTGCAGGTGGCCACGGCAATCGCCTATGCCATGAATACGGAGTTCTCGAAAGTACTTGCCCAGCAGATGGTCTACTTTAGCCAGTCAAGTGCTGTTGATAATATTTCTCGTGTCCATGGCCAGATTGACGAACTGAAAGACATCATGGTTAAGAATATTGGTGAGCATTTTGAAGACGATAGTTACTATAGTAATCTTCATGCTCCGTATCGTGTTGTATGCTTCTTACAGACAGTCTACGTGATCGTGGCGAAAAATTGGAGCTGCTCGTCAATAAAACAGAAAACTTGAGCAATAACGTAAGTTAATTCCAACATAAATAAATCTCCTCTAACCGCATTCATTCCTTTATTCACAGTCGGTTGCATTCCGCAAGGCATCAAGAAACTTGGCGCGGCAGATGTTTTGGAAGAAAATTCGTGTCTATGTTGTTGTTGGGATAGTGATAATATTTATAATCTATGTTATTGTAAGCATGTTCTGCGGCGGTCTCGCCTGGCAGACGTGCGTTTAGTGCACGGCCAACGATATTGTTTAATTGTTATGGGTCTATACCGGATCGGATGTATATTTGCATATAAAACACATGAGTTACTTTCATTATCTACATATGTTCTATTTAATAAACATGAGTGTACACATGAATAATTATACGATAAGCAGAAGAAATGTTCAAAGACTGATTTTCTTGTCCTCAACATACACAACATCATTGGCTTTAACTTTGCCTGGCTGTCGGAGACCCAAATGTATGCCCAGTGCTGGGGAGCTGTAGTTGAACAGACGAAAGCTGATAAAAGAAATGGAGTGATTATAAGTTATTTCATGTGATTGTGTAGAGTTTACGGAGGCCACCTTCTCAAAGTCTTCAACGGTTCGCCGTCGATGTCCCGCTCCGCTGTGTTGACATTAATATTCGGTAGAATACAACGCGTGCAAGGAGCCACTGAACGGAAAACTGCCTCCTCACCAATGCGAACCCATTGCCAATGATCCTCCGCATAGGGCTCGTCTACATCAGCTTTCAATTCGAAGTTACCCCGAAATTGTAGCGGATCTACGGGATTCTTAATTCGAGTGTTTAGATCGGCCACCGATGACAGATTCATGAGCATATAGCTTGTCGCATCGTTGAAGGTGCCCTGCTCGGTTAATTTTGTACAGATAAATATTACTCACAGGCTGTACCCACGAACACTGTTTGGTACCCACCGAATCCACTTGCCTTATGTAGGGCATGTGCTTCAATCGGGGATTGATGATCTTCACGGCCTTCGGGTAAGGGTAATGAACCAGCTTCAGTCCGGTCTCCGTCTTCAAGATGAACTGAGAGAACCACTTGTTAAACCGGTCGCCGCAAATCATAGCATCCACCGGTGCACCCCAAACGGATGTATGCAAATCCTGGCCAGGACTCTGCAAGTTTTCGAAATCAAATTCCAAATCGGGCATTCCCGGGGCGCTGAATATGAGGCCATTGGCCGAGACTTTCCGAGACTTTATCAATAGCATTTGAGGATAGCCCCGTGCCGTCACCATCGTGTTGCTTTCGTCGAGCACCATTAGCGTGCGGTCCCGTATTCCCTCGAATGACAATCCAAGCACATCGCAATCGTACTCGAGGTCTGGTGTCAAGTTGAGTGGAGCACAGGATTTGACCGGAAATAAGTTGATCCGCTGCAGCGTTCCCACGCGTCTCCACTTCTGTGGCATAGCATCTCTGTATTGTAAATAGCGGCGGTAGAGAAAAAAGCTCGCCCCTCCCACCACTGCCAAGCCAACGCCCACTCCGATGAGTGTCTTCGGACTAATGTCCAAGCTGGAGCTGCTGTCTACAGGGAAGCAAGTCTAATTTCTTGGTCTACTGTCGACCTACCAAATTTTTTTTACTTACTTGCCATCGTTTAAAAATTTCTTTTAGTTATCACACCTGTTGCTTTCTCTGAGCCAAAAGCTCAACTGATTAGATTACTTCTTTTGTTCAGATCGTGTCGAAGGCTGGAAAAGCCTGCTTCATCCAAATCAATTATTTTTATGTACGAGGATGGATACATTTTATTAAATGTATGGATTTTTAAAATAAAATTTGTAATTTACATTTTAAAATCAATTAACATCCTTTTATTTTATTAATTAAAAGCCCGCAATATGATTGTGCATCCATCCCTGTGCGGGCTATCGATAAGTGTAATGGAAGATTCGGAAGAGTACCGGGTATATAACATTCGCGTATAATGAAGTATTCGTGATTAGCACGTCTGTCTTGATGATCATCCATATCTCACACACTGTATGATTCTCTAAATCAATCTCAATGGGCGCACCTCCGCATAAAATCAGAATAATTCCAACTATTTCTTTTGTTATAAGTCCGTTTTTATATAAATTCAATTTTCATTTAAATCAAACTTCATTATTTACATACAAATTATAGATTGATTTACTTTTCCCCAACATACACAACATCATTGGCCTTAACTTTGCCTGGCTGCCGGAGACCCAAATGTATGCCCAGAAGTGGGGAGCTATGGTTGAACGTGCGATAGCTGATTAAAGAAATAGAGTGAGTATAAGTTATTTCATGCAACTATGTAGAGGGTAAAGGTAAGTATATAACCTTTTCAAAGTCTTCAACGGTTCGCCCTCGACGTCCCGCTTTCCTGTATTGTCATTAACATTCGGTACAATGCACAGTGTGCGCGGAGCTACTTGACGAAAAACGGCCTCATCACCAATGCGAACCCATTGCCAATTGTCCTCCGCATAGGGCTCGTGCTCGTCGCATTTTATTTCGAAGCCACCTCGAAATTGCAGCGGTTCCACTGGATTCTTTAGTCGAGTGTTAAGGTCGTCGACCGACGACAGATTCATGAGCATGTAGCTCGTCCCATCATTAAAGGTTCCCTGTTCGGATAATTTTTGACAGAAAAATATGAATATTATTACATATTGCTATGAAAAAAGATTTATGAATTCTTTAAAATGGAAGAGCACAATGGTGCCGCACAATGGTGCCGAGTTATTTGTTCACTTACACTTTAGGCAATTTGAGGATACAACTGAAGACATCACAATGAGCAGGATCTTACATCTACACTTTAAGTTGGTACCTACCGAATCCTCTTGCCTCATGAAGGGCATGTTCTTCAAGTCGTCACAAATTATCTTCACCGGCTTTGGGTACGGATAGTGCACTAGCCTTAATCCGGTGTTCTTCTCCAAGATGAACTGAGAGAACCACTTGTTAAACCGGTCGCCACAAAGCTTAGCATCCACGGGGGCACCCGAAATGGATGTACGCAAATCCTGGCCAGGACTCTCCAAGTTCTTGAAATCAAGTTCCAACTCGGGCATTTCTGGTGCGGTAATTATGAGACCATTGTCCGAGACTTGCCATGGCTTTATTAACTTCATATGGGGATAACCTCTTGCCGTCACCATAGTGTTATTTTCATCGAGTAGCATTAATGTGCGATCGCGTATTCCATCGATTGACATACCAAGTACATCGCAATCGTACTCGCGGCCCGGTGTCGAGTCAAGTGGAGCACATGACTTGATCGGAAATAAGTTGATCCGCTGCAGCGTTCCCACACGCCTCCACTTCTGGGGCATAGCATCTCGGTATTGTAAATAGCGGTGGTAGAGAAAATAGCTCGCTCCTCCCGCCACTGCCAAGCCAACGCCTACTCCGATAAGCGTCTTCGGACTGATGTCCAAGCTGGAGCTGCTGTCTACAGGGAAACAAGTCTAATTTCTAGATTAACTGGTGACTCACCAAAATTTTCACTTACATGCCATCCTCTTTGTAATTTCTTTTAGTTATCACACTTGTTGATTTCTCTGCGCCTAAAGCTCGACTGATTAGATCGACCCCCGACCCTATACCATACCGAGAGGATGATGACGAAAGCTTCTTTTGTGTAGATCATGCCGATGGCTGGAGAAATCGTGGGCAATGCATGCTTAACTCCAACCCAGTAAATTTTATACAGAATTTGAGTAGATTTTAAAATGCCTTTAAGTCCTTTCTTTGATATAAACAGGTCCGGGCTTTTTTTTAATTAATCTGCTGCTCCGGGCCCTATACATTTTTGCATCCCATCCCTGTCAGGTCTATCGATAAGAGTAGTCGCTCATCAAGCCGGCACGCAGAATTGTTTTGATTTGATTTGTAAAAGGAGAGAGAACAAAACAAAGAAAAAAAGAGAAGAAATGAATGACAACGAAGCTATGGAGCCGCATACGGAAACACGTGAAGCGTCAGCAGCCCCAGATCCTGAGTTGGATGTAGGCAGTGAACACTTTAACCCACTGCGAGCGCTCTATGAGCCAAATTATAAAATAACAGATGTACCTCCGAAAGTGCTGTATCAAAACCTAGCCGCTTTCGAGAGTGCTCTTAAAAAGTTTGGAGTATGGCAACTGAACAAGAGACAGAAATCTGGAACGTCGGCGGGACCTGGCCAAGCAGACCAAAAGTCTTCTTTGCCTTGCACTTCCAAGACTGTGATGGTGCTGGAAGAAGCTCCCCAGCGTCGTTTTGAGCCCCATCAAATGCCAATGGTCAGCACTGTAAACAAGAAACATCAGCGGAATATTTTTACATACATGGAGACGACGGTGGGCCCCCTGGAACTGTTGAAGAAATGCATAGTCGCACCAGCTCTAGAGAACAATTCAAAGATCCGCGTGCGGGTGGTAATCCGCAAAGAGCGAGAGATAGGTGGCAGGGTCGAAGGCGAATTGGTGGCCTACGATAAACAGTGGAATCTCCTCTTGAGGAATGCCACAGAGACATGGAAGCGGCGAAAATACAATTTTGGAGAGCAGAAACTTTGTGGAGCGCCTGTTGATTGCAGTGCTCGACTTAGGGATTTAGGAATAGTTCTACCCACAGTAGAGGTGAAGAGCTTGAATCGAAAGAATGTGCAGGTTAAACGGGACCTGCCACAGGTTTTAATACGAGGGGAAAATGTGGTACTAATAAGTTTAATTGATTAAGATGAAGACAACTAGTAGAAATGATCAATAGCTATCTATGTGTATTTTTAGATTAAGTGGTGTACTCCATTGCAACGCACTCTTCAGCGGCTACCTCTTGTGAATGTGAGTCGTCCTCCATCAGATGGTGCAAGCTTTCATTGGGATAGCTAGCAAAGGCATAAAAGTAAAATAGTTCATAGAAACAAATAAAATATCGTTCAAGATTTACCATTTAGATGGGCTTTCATCGCTGAGCATTGTTGTGGGAACAGTGGCCGAAGTACACTCTGGGCTCATAAGTTCTATTGGCGTCGGACGTCGCTCTTGCAACTGACGCGTGATTTCAGCTGTGCTTAGGGAGACAGCTGAAAGTAGCGGCTGTTGAGAAGGAGGTACTGTGGCCGTCAGCTGCCGTTTCCCGGCTGCCTGATGTCCGTGGTTTGAGGACAGTGCTCCAGTCAAAACTTTGCGTCTGCGCCCACGCGTGGCACCAACCGTTGGCAGGTGAGGCGGAGTTGCAGTTGCAACGGATGCTCCCTTTTCTTTGTGCTTTTTTCGAATGGTCTCCTTCGGTGTCTGCGAGCCTCCAGCTGCTGTGGACGTGGATGGCGTGGCTTGTTCAGTTTCTGAATCGGAGCTGTCTGTGGCCTCGCTGTCACTTGAGTCCTTGGCGGGGTGCTCGTACAGCAGCAAACGATCAAGAAGGAAAGTACGGTCTCGAGACACCTTTAGTAAGCGCCGCTGATTCGTCTGCAGCAAATCCTGAAAGTACTCGTTTTCCTGCAGGCACATAACAATATAATATAATGATATTCCGTGGGAAAAACTCTCGCCGATCCCTTACATAAATGAGAAACTTCAGTTTTCGCTTCAAGTTCTTGTAACGATCCTTGTAATCTACGGCACTCGCATTATTCCCCGTTCCTGCAGACGCTGAAGATGAACTTTCTGGTGCTCCCCTGGCGTTCGCATGGCCAATGTTCCGCGCGGGCTGTTCCTCATCGCTCTCCTGCTGATGAGGCTCGTCCTTAACAGCTCCCTCCTCTTGATTGGCAAGGGATCGACAGTACCAGCCCTCAAGCATGTTATTTTTTTAATGTAATTTGTGTTTGTTAATTTTATTTTCCTTACACTACAGAGATGAGAGTGCAACGATAGGTTAGGCAACGATAATATTACTTATCGATTCATATACATCGGCTATCGGTTGTGTAAATATATTTGAACAAAAACTCAACCGAATTAACTGGTACACATAGCTATTTGCGAAGTCCTTGAATCCTTTCTAATGTGTAAATATACTTTTCTTTCTAGTTGTGATTTATTTAAAACCGAATTTTCTCTGGACTTTTTATTAAAGGTTCTAGGTTTGGTTTCCATTCTCAAAGCTTTGAATATAGCGACTCATGCACCACCATCGACGATTGAATATCTTTCAGTGTTTGGCAGCCGATCAATGCCATTGTGATCTCGAAGTCCTTTCTGAGTACACCCAACATTTCCTCAACACCCTTCTGTCCGTTGTACGCTAGACCCCAGACGGCAGGGCGACCGACAAAGACAGTCTTGGCTCCCAGAGCTAGGGCTTTGAAGATATCATTACCCTGCATGATGCCCCCATCCAGCATAACCAGCAGGTCATTGCCCACAGCCTTCGCCACTTCGGGAAGGGCCTCTATCGAGGCAGGGACTGTGTCTATTTGGCGGGCTCCATGATTGGACACGATGATCCCGGCGCAGCCAAACTCTTTGGCGAGCACAGCGTCCTCTGCAGTCAAAATACCCTTTACGACGATGGGCAGGTGAGTAATGCTCTTCAGCCACTTGATATCCTGCCAGGTTATAGTGGGATCGAACTGGCTGGACACGTACTCATTGATGCCAGAGGCGCCCATTGAAGTAGTGGCCACGCCGGTGGCCTTCACACCCTGGAAATTGGCCAAAGTCAAGTGGGATGGTAAGCTGAAGTTATTGCGAACATCGGCACGGCGATGTCCGAAGATTGGGGCATCAATGGTCAGGACAAGAGCCTTAAAGTTAGCCTTCTCCGCACGGCGTACCAGTTTCTCAGTAATTGTGCTGTAATCAAAAAGAGAAGGCAGGACTGTTCAGATATGAGGGCTTTAAAAGGATCTATGCCTACCGGTCTTTGTAGATGTACAACTGGAACCATTTGCAGGTGTCGGGCGCGCCGGCGGCCAAGTCCTCCAGCGATGTGGTCGAGAGGGTGCTGAGAATAAATATGGATCCGGCTTTTCCGGCTGCTCTTGCATTGCCCACTTCGCCATCTGAATGAGCCATTTTCTGCATTGCAGTCGGTGCAATACCAAGTGGCCATTTCATTTGCTCTCCAAAGATCGGACAGCTAATGTCCAGGCGGGAAACGTCTCTCAGGCACCGGGGACGGAGGCGTAGTCTTCGGAAGGCCTCACGATTTAGCCCCAGTGTAAACTGCTCCCCTGCCCCGCTTCTGTAGTAGTCCAGTGCATTTTTTTCCAGCTTCCCTGCTGCCTTCTTCTCAAAGTCCTCCACACACACCAACGCCATGTCCGCAGTCAAGTTACGTAACAAGTGAATGGAAATGGTGTACAATTTTCGTTAGCACTTCTCGACGCACCGCCCAGAGTCAAACTGAATCCACCGCAGATTAAAGACGGGCATCAACAGCTTCCCCTCGGATGGGTCCATAAACCCACATAGCGATAAGCGCGCTGTCTGCCAGGGAACAACTGATAACGGACACCTGACCCTCTCCTCCACAAACGAAGGCAAGACCGAATCAGACGACGTAGTTTCCCAGACTCTACATGGGGGGTTGCAGTAGATGATCAGGCACTGGTGTTGTGTCCACTTTCGTTTAGCAAGGCCAAGGTTAAATGCTATCACGTACCTTTTATATACTTTAAATTGGTTCAAAGTGGAGCATGGAATGAAGAAGAAAGAGCCAATACCCCTTGGCTTGTAGAACTATCAACAGTTTTATTCAAAAATAATTTAAAAATCTAGAACAACCAATTGCTACACCTAGATAACGATCTATAGGCAGGCCATTAAACGCTGTAGGATGCCTTAAGGTTGTTGAAGTACTCCAGATCCGTTTTGCTTATCGAAGGCACAAATTTGTTGAACGACTTTGTGAAGTCTTCAGACTCCACGATTACGGTCTCAGGCAGGAGTTCCTTCTCAGACAGGTTCCCACTCAGGTGCCGATCTATGGTGCGCCTTACAGCCGATAGCCAGGCATTCGAACAGATGGAGTATAGGTCTGCGCCGCTCATTTCACTCTTCAGGCGCTCGGCAATCTCATCCATGTTGATGCCAGAGTCCAGGGCAAAGCGCTGAGTTTGAGCTCGCAGCACGGCTGCTTTGTCGTCGGCCGTAGAGCAGGGTCCCACGTAGAAGAGTTTATCAAAGCGACCGGGTCGAAGCAGGGCGGGATCAATCAAATCCGGCCGATTGGTGGCAGCAAGTATAAAAATGGGCTTGCTGGAGTCGCCATCACTCATGCCGTCCATCTCAGCCAGAAGCTGCGACACAACGCGGTCCATAACACCGCCCGAATCACCCGCCACACCTCGATTCGGAGCCAACGAGTCCAGCTCATCGAGGAAGAGCACACAAGGGGCCGCCGACCGAGCACGGGAAAAGACCTCGCGCACATTCTGTTCACTCTGGCCCACATACATGTTGAGGAGCTCGGGACCCTGCACAGAAAGGAAGCTCAGGTTGCATTCAGTGGCCACGGCCTTGGCTACCAAGGTCTTGCCCGTTCCAGGTGGCCCGTACAGCAGAATGCCTGAGCGCCGTAGGTTCTTGCCCATGAGGTGAACGTGCTTTAGGGGCAGCCCAATGCTGCTCTGAATCTCATCCTTCAGTTTGGCCAGACCGCCAATATCCGACCAATAGACTTTGGGCACCTTTGGCGCACCCAAACTATCGGCAAAGGAGCTCTGCATGTCACTCAAGTTCTTGGAAAAGTGGGATAGGTCAAGGGAGCTCCTGCCCAGCCTTTGTCGGCTCTTCATGCGAACGGCGCTGTCGTAGAGCAATTGCAGGTCACCCAGAAGGAATCCCTGTGATTTGGCCGCCACCTCCTGCAGCACGCCCACAGTCTCTCGCCAACTAGGACACAGCCTCGACATGAACTGTGATTGATTTTCTCTCGGGAATAGGGGCAAACGATCGATTGCCTTCTGATTGTATATCAAATCGTTGAAGGTCTCGCGGGCGTGCATCCACCGTAGGATCTCAAATCGCTCTTCTTTGCTTGGCATCTCAATGCTGATTATCTCCAGAAACAGGCTCTGAATCATGGGCTTAAGGTGCTTGTCGCTGGTCAGAGCCACTACAACTACAGGATGCTTTCGATCGCGAGAGAACAGCTCTTGAACCTGGACTTGGAAGGCCGACAGCAGTCTCAGGTCCTCGTTGCCTTCGTTGTCGATTCCAAATATCTGTAAAAGAGTATATTGTTAGATTAGTCTCTCTCGCCCTCTTAGTGAGACGGTTGTACATACCTCGAAATTATGGAAACAGATCAACAGCGGCTCACTGACTTGACTCTTGGCGAAGACCGCCTTCAGCTTCATCTCCGTGTGCGAAGGTACCTGCGAGACGATCTCGGCGCAGTCTGCTCCATATAAGTGCATGCCGAGCTCCTGGGCGACGGCATTTATGAGCTTCGTTTTGCCAGATCCCCGCTCACCCTGCAGTAGAAACACCGGAAAGATGTGCTTGGAAGACAGGCAGGCCGACTTTTTGGGCAGAAACGCGTCCACCGATGATCTCAGCAACTGGTACGACTTTCGAAGCCCACTCGGATAGTTCTCAACGATGGCAAAGTTGTCCAGTACTTGTCGTGGCAGGAAGTTGTGGGCATGCGGAACTTGCACTAGATTGCTAAGACCCTTCGCCACTACCGCCTGTAGCTCGAACTCGCTGCCCTTTGTCTCAAGATGAATGCAGCGAAAGTGGACGTGCCGCAGATACGCGAATATCAGATAATAATGGGCGTAGGCGGCAGTGCCCACCAGTTTGGCGTTCACCTCGATGCGATAGGTGTGGCCGCGATGCAGGAGACGCGGCGTATTAAAGTAGTTGCTTAGGATCAGCTCCGTCACCTCAGCAGGCAGCTCGTGGGGATTGCTTAGCATATACACATGAGCCTTGGTGGCTATGGCGGGTATTGTTTGTTCATCGGCGAAATGTTCCAGTTTGATCCAGCAATTGGATCGAATGCGAAACCGGTCCAGAACATTGCTATAGAAGTTTTCCTATCAGAGAAAGAAAGTGAGGGTCTTTAAATTATGTACTCAAATTTATTGGTAAACAAGCAAAACGTACCTGGACATAGATCCGGTTACCTTGACACTGGGCTACGGGCAATATCTGCGCCACTATAGTATGTGGAGCCTCTTGCAGCATTTGCTTAATGACCGTTTGAGGCGTTGCATTGTGGCCTGCTGTCTGCTTTGCCGTTCCACTTCCGCCGCGGATAATCAGGTTGACAAAGTTAACATCTGGGGACTCGGCATAGCTATCGTAGACATCCTGGCTGGCGAATACCAGGTGCTCCGATTTGATCAACTCATTTTTAATGAGCAGTTCGTAGAGGCGATTCGGTATGGGCGTTAAATGAAACTTGCCCTTGTAATATTTGGCATAGCGCCAATAGACAGCGTATGTCAGATATCCGGGGTAGAAGAACCAGGGCCACTTGGGCACCAACAACTGGACCGCGGAATTGTAGCCCTCTATCAGCTCCTGCATGCGTCCCGCATAACTGTATCTTGGCTGGCCAGGATCCAGCTGATCCACGGAAACGGACGAGCGCTTGACGGCGACCTTTTTCTGCGAGTGGCAAGAGAAATTTTATTTCTGTTTCTGGTTACTCAATAATACACCTACCGCATTAACATTTTCATTCATTTTTACCAAACAGAGACAAACACAATACAATCTACAGGTGCAAGGGTTAGATACCGTGGATCGGAGAGTCAAAGTTCAAGGAGTTGGAGGAAGGACAGCACACAGATACACTAAAATAAGCAATTACAAGTTAGGCTCTCGTACCAAAAAAGCTTATTACGCTTAGTACTTTACGATTTATTATCATTTAACGCTTATTTTTACCTTTTTTATTATTACTCGCCTCTTCATTTTCTCTTATAATCAGTGGACTTATCGATCAAATATACCGTCTTATTTAAAAAATATACCGTAAATATACTGACGAATTCAAGGTCTATGTTACAAATTCCCTGTTTTTGATCTTCCGTCGAATATTCCCAGCTATATAGAACATTTAGCCATTCCCAGACTGTTTAATACGATTGATGAATCAATTTTCTACTTGATTGGCTTAATTTAAATAATTGCTTTTATTGGATTTTGTTTAAAAAAGGATTTAGCGAAAAAGGTCAAACAAATGAAACGTAATAAAACGTAAGTGAGTATGGAATGTAAGGGATTGTTGAGGGGTTGCTTTTATTGGATTTCTATATAACATTGAAAATTAAATTTAATAGATCGATGAAATTGACAAAATATACCATTATATACCGATATACCGTAAAAATACCAAAAAGTATTAAAAACACCGTAAAGAGGTACCACCGATAATATGGATGTTATCGCTTGAGAGTGCTGTCTGGCAACTCTGCAGGCTCGGCAAAACAAAATAGTACAGAAGCTTAAAAAATTTAATTTTTTTTTAAATGAGCCTAGAAATGAGCAACACAAATGGTGGAAACGGCATCCAACGCTCCCAGGACAAGCGCGAGCTGCTCTGTCTCCTGAAACTTCTAAAAAAATACCAACTGAAGAGCACAGAGGAGCTGCTCTGCCAAGAGGCCAATGTGAGCGCTGCGGATCTGTCGGCAATCAGCGAAACAGATGTACAGCAGGTACTCGGCGCTGCTTTGGGGCTGGGCGAGGGTGAGAAAGAGAAAGAGCCGCCGCGGCCTGCTCCGGTGGAAACAAAGCAGACGGCGGTGACTGAGGCCAATGCGGCGGAGGCATTGGCCAAATTCATTGGAGACGACAGCTTCGACGCCCAGCAGCACGAGCAGGCCTACGAAGATCTGCGCTCATTCGTGGAGGATTCGTTGGACATATATAAGCATGAGCTGTCTATGGTATTGTATCCCATATTGGTGCAAATCTATTTCAAGATGCTCGCCATCGGACAAAAGGAAAAGGCACGCGCGTTCATCGAGAAGTACAAATCCGATCTCGACGGCTACTACATAGAGGGGCTTTTCAACTTGCTGCTGCTGACCAAACCGGAGGAGCTGCTGGATAACGATCTGGTCGTTGCTATGGAAATGGATAAGTTTGTCATTCGGATGTCCAGGGACTCCCATTCGCTGTTCAAGCGTCACATCCAGGACCGCAGGCAGGAGGTAGTGGCAGATATCGTGGCCAAGTATTTACATTTCGATACATATGAAGGCATGGCTCGAAACAAGCTGCAATGCGTTGCCACAGCAGGCTCCCACATCGGAGAGGCCAAGAGGCAAGACAACAAGATGAGGGTGTACTATGGCCTGCTCAAGGAGGTGGACTTTCAAACGCTGACCACGCCAGCTCCGGCCCCAGAAGAGGAAGACGATGATCCGGATGCTCCAGATCGCCCGAAGAAGAAAAAGCCCAAAAAGGATCCGCTGCTGTCCAAGAAATCCAAGTCGGACCCCAACGCTCCTTCCATAGATAGGATACCCTTGCCTGAGCTCAAGGACTCTGATAAGCTGCTTAAGCTAAAGGCCCTGAGGGAAGCCAGCAAACGCATGGCCCTCGGCAGAGACCAGCTTCCCTCCGCAGTGTTCTACACGGTACTTAACTCCCAACAAGGCGTCACTTGTGCCGAGATCTCAGAGGATTCCACAATGGTGGCCTGCGGATTTGCAGACTCCAGTATCAGGATATGGTCCCTGACGCCCGCCAAGCTGCGCACCCTCAAGGAAGCCGATGCTCTGAGGGAGCTCGACAAGGAGTCTGCGGATATTAATGTACGCATGCTGGACGACCGGAGTGGGGAAACAACAAGGAACTTCCTGGGTCACACAGGGCCTGTCTATCGCTGTGCCTTTGCGCCCGAAATGAACCTGCTCCTATCGTGCTCCGAAGACAGCACCATACGATTGTGGTCTCTTCTCACGTGGTCCTGTGTTGTGACCTACCGCGGTCACGTCTACCCCGTCTGGGATGTTCGATTTGCCCCGCATGGATATTACTTTGTGTCATGCTCTTACGACAAAACGGCTCGTTTGTGGTCGACAGACTCCAATCAGGCCCTCAGAGTCTTCGTTGGCCACCTATCAGACGTGGACTGCGTCCAGTTTCATCCAAATTCAAATTACGTGGCCACTGGCTCCAGTGATCGGACTGTGCGGCTCTGGGACAACTTGACGGGCCAGTCGGTGCGTCTAATGACGGGTCACAAGGGATCTGTCAGTGCCCTTGCTTTCTCCACCTGTGGACGCTATTTAGCCTCTGGTTCCACCGACAACAACATCATAATCTGGGACTTGTCGAATGGTTCCCTCGTGACCACCTTACTGAGACACACCAGCACCGTAACGACGATAACCTTCAGCCGCGATGGAACTCTCTTGGCAGCCGCTGGCCTGGACAACAACCTGACCCTCTGGGACTTCCACAAGGTCACCGATGACTACATCAGCAATCACATTACGGTGTCGCACCATCAGGATGAGAACGATGAGGACGTCTACCTGTTGCGCACGTTTCCCAGCAAGAACTCCCCCTTTGTCACCCTTCACTTCACGCGCCGCAATCTCCTCATGTGCGTGGGACTCTTCAAGAGTTAGGCCGCAGTTTAGTTTATTAAATATACGTAACGTAGTCTTAAGGATTCAAATGATGTTTTACCATATTATAAAGTTAGCAAGTGTCTGATTATCAAATTAAAACCAACCTGATTTATTTGATCTACATACATATATAATAAATGTCAATTCTGTACATTTCTACTCTATTTTGGATAAGGCTAAAGGTTAAACGACTGATACGTTTTGGATCCTTACATAATAGCCATATATAGTTATTAAATGTTCTTAAATCGTGAATACAAAACATCAGCATATACATTCAATGAATACGCCAGGAATCCTACGCCTCTGAATCTTCAATACCAAATGTCCGACGCACTGCTACCGAGTTCTTTATGTTGTAGATTGCACACCGAGGAGGCTTCTCCCCACCGAATGCCAGCGTGTAGGGATCTTCCGGGCACTGACGCATGCACTGCAGACGACCCATGTTGAACTCGTGCTCGTAGACGTGCTTCGCCTCGGTGCCGTTGAAGTTCCAGACTTTCAGAGTGCCCTCAGTGGAGGTGGAGGTGAGCAGATTGGGCATTTGGCTGTTGAAGCACACTCCGGAGATTTCCTCGCTGTGGGCTTTCACGGACCACAGGATTTGGTTGGGTGTGCGCTTATCGGCATAGTGGAGACTACCGTCGTTGGTGCCTATGATGAAGTAGTCGGTTTGAGTCGGGTGCCAGAGAACCTTCTCCACCTCGCCGTCCACTTTCCATTGGATGCTGGACGAGTTCACGGCATCAGCGTCGCGGCAATCGAAAAGTCGCACAAAGCCGTCAGAACATCCGGTTAGAATGCTCTGAGCCTCTGTGGGGTGGAACTCTAGCGACTGGACTTTTTCCTCAAAAGCGGTGATGGTAGTGTGCGGTTGTCCCTCATCCATATCCCAGAGAATCAACGTCCGATCGACTGAGCCACTGGCCAGGATGTGCTCGAAGTTACGGTTCCACGAGAGATCCAGAACGGCATCTTTGTGGCCATACTGCTCCTTCTGGTGTTTGCGACTGCCCTTGGAGCCCAGCTTGAAAGTGGGCTCAATGGAGTCCTGAATATCCAAGTCCCACACCGTTATGATCGGGTCCATGCATCCAATGGCGCACATGTTGCCGGCCTTGTCGCTGCCCGCATCGTGGTTCATCCACTCGATGCAGAGTGGAAAGCTCGGCAACAAGAAGTCGTGGTGGGTGTAGAGAGCCTCCTCCTCCTGATTGAACACCCACACCTCCATGGAGGCGGCGTCGTCCTGGACATGACCCACGAGAATCAAGTTGTCGCTGGGCTTGATAACCTCGTCGTCAGCTTCAGAGTCTTCGTCTTCATCGGGCACCTGCTCACCGGCATCTACTATGTTGGCCAAACTTGTGACCGTCGCGTTCTCCTCGTTGTCATACGCATTGAAGTCAAACTCGTCCTGGGGATTGCGATTTTCGCTGTTGGCATCGTCATTGTCATCGTCCACGTCCATGCCGGCGCCAGCATCTGCCGTCTCATCCCCTTCATCATCACTGTCCTCTTCCAGCTCCTGCTGCGTGGCGCCGATGATTCTGGCCAACTCGCCTTGGGTCAGCACAATCTTATCGGGTCGATCCTTGGCAACGCCGCGCGGCACAAAGCACAACGCGGGTACAAAGTCAATGCTTGCCTCGGGTGGTCCTTCCTCAGCCATTTTAATTAAAAATTGAAATTGTTTGAAACTGAAATCCACACCAAACGAACAACACGTGCAGATCAGTTCGATAACTAACTTAGCACACTTAAGCCCCCTCTATTTAAACAGTCAATGGCGGTAAAAATTGCTGATTGTAAATTCTTTTTGTAGATCCATTCCAGCTTTCCTCAGAGCTTTAAAAAACAACGATTTGTATCTCCTGAACTGCGCTTAAACTAAAATGATTCAATTTGCATTATTTTCGGTGTAATATTAAAATAAACCCTTGGTCTACAATGGGTTAATCGTTCTCCGTTAATGGACACCATTGGAAAGAACAGAGACAGCCTTTGACGCCTTTTTTTTTAAATAATAGATACATTTTTTTGAGGCAGACGGACATAGAGACATATCTTTATTGACTATTGATGCTGACAAAGAATATATGCATATACATTGTCGGGTCGGAAACGTTTCCTTTTGTGTGTTACTTCCATTCCCTTCTCAAATCGAATGTACCGACTAAAACTGTAAACAAGTATACCCTATGCAAATCCTATAAAAATAGGACCGCTCTCCATTGGACGGCTTTGAATTCTGTTGTTGCCAAAGCAACAAATGGTACTTGTAGTTACAAAGTTTATGGTTACAAAATAAATATCTTTATCTTTCCTAACCTAATGCAAAAATGCACTCAGAGATTTAGATAAACTGCTAGTATAAAATATGTGTATGGTATTGTTTATTGTTCACTGAAATTCTTTATCTTTAGCAGTATTTGGCGTGAGATCAGCCTCTCAGTGACTTTTGTACAAACGTGGCATTCAGTCGTAATGGACGCACGTAAATTTTCCACCCACGTACTTGATACTTCGGTAGGAAAGGCTGCCGCAAGTGTTAGAGTAACTATTTCTGTCCTGGATGAGATTCAAGAGTGGAGATCCCTCCGAGCAGCCCAAACCAATGCGGACGGTCGTTGTCAACTTTTGGAGGCCGGGGAGTTTCCCAGCGGAGTCTACAAGCTAACGTTTCATGTGGGATCCTACTTCGCAGAGCGCAATGTAAAAACCCTGTATCCAGCTATAGATATCATTGTGGACTGTAGTGAAAATCAAAACTATCACATTCCTTTGCTACTTAATCCCTATGGATACTCCACATATCGGGGTACATAGATGTGGCGGCCAGTGTGTAGAATCAATACAAAAATCATTGTGAATTATTATTAAAATAAACCAGAAAAAAGGAAATTAAAATAAAGTGGCTCTAAATAAAATTAATGTTTATTTCAATCGCTCTGGTCCAGAACATAATGTTAGACAATCTTTTTCATGGGGCAAATAAATCATTGAACATTGGACCATTCAATTTAACTTAATAAGTCTTGATCGTTTCTTATGAAGGTCTCGTTAATATCTTGGATTTGCTTAAAATTAATAAATTACAAAATTTAATCCGTTGATTCGATTTTTGAAATACTAAAACGCTTTAGCTCATTTTGTCTCTACTCATAATAGCGTTGTAGCTATTTCGAAACGGTCACACTGTCTCTAAATAAAAATAAAAAAATAATTGGTTTGGCTCTGTGGTCACACTGCTGTTGTATCTTTCGGATCGCGCTCCGCTGTCGGTTTTTGAAACAGCGATTGGCTTTTGTGAGTGCCGGTAGTTTTTGAATACCAAATATCCACTTAGTTTACATTATAAAATATACTATAATATATAATAGTAGTGACAAGTGCGGTATCTAGTGCACGAGCATCCTTTTGTTCATCTGCGTATCGGCTCTGCCTGCCCCCCACACAGAGGCGCAACAGTTTGTTCTCGCAGGGCGCAGAGCGAGTGAAGAATATATATGGAAATGATATCCGTGTGTTATTGAAGATTGAAGAGTTAAACAAGAAGCTGAGTTTGTTATTGGAAAGTACATACAAGCACAGTCACGCTAACACGGATAGATAGATACGCTATACCTACACGCGCCCCACAGCCAAGTGAACAAATCCCCAACAAATCTTAAACCAGTTTCAAGATACATATTCTTGGTGTCAGTGTGTGCATGTTGATTTTTTCTGGCATTGTTTTCGTTTGGTGTTTTGTGGCTCTGCATCTTTTTTGTGTACCTTTTCGCCTGTTTCTGTTGTTCGGTTTCCCCCTAATCGCGTTTCAATTTTCTGGCTGCCCCTGCCCCCACCGCCGCCCCTGCCGCAGTCGCTGCTGTTGGCTCTCGTCCAGGTCGGGGTCCAGCAAGAGCAACAAGTACCCGGGGGCTCTCAGCTCGCGTCTCGCGTCCCGAACATACGAAAAGACAAGCCAACAGCAACAGCTCAGCCTCTAACGTAGTGTGCCCCCCCCCCAATCGGTCCAATTTGAATGCGGTCCAATTCAAAGCAGCTCGAGAACCGGAGTATCTCGCACGAACATTTCTGAAAGGTAAGCCATGAACATACCATATATTATTTGTATCTTTTGATCTATTTTTATCTTAAGCCTTTTGAGGGATTTTTTGTTTTATAATCAAATACGAATTTAATTTCTAATTTTAATACATACAATTTGTAAAAACTACAGGCAGAATCTGTTTCTCTCGATTTGGGGTTTATTGGTCTCAAATTGCGTAAAGTATTGTGTAGTTTGCAATAGTATGTTAGAACTTCTTGAACAGTTTAGAGATTTTCTCGTTAGTTTGTCAATTGCCTGAGGGCCCTGTTTACAACATCCAAGACCTACCTACACAACAGATACATACATACCTTATTACCTCACCTTCAGTGGGTCATTTGACACAATTTCGTTTATCTAATAATTGAAAGGTAAAAAAATTAAAATGCAATCAAAGTGACAAACCGCCAGCGGTCAATTAATCGAATCAAAAAACCAAAACAATAAAATGAAAGAAACCAAAAAACCCGAATAAGATATGTAATTGATAATCGATTCGACGATAAACACTTTCCAGGCCCGCAGCTCTATCCGACCACCAATCATTAATAACTGTAGTTTAAAAAAAGATGAATATATTGAATGGTACCGTTAGAAGCGACGCTGGAAAAGTGTCAAAAATGCTAGCTTACACGTAAATGGATATAATTTGCATTGACGCAACACAAAAACCCAATATCCAACGATCGTTAAAATCTGGCGGCAGATTAGAGAGCGGCTAATCGCTCGGGCGGTCAAAACTGCAGAAAAAAGGCCGCAGAAGCAGCAGAGCCCAAGAAGAAACTGAGGAACAGCAAAGCCTTTTAGTCATCGAAGCTGGGGGCAGCTCAGTCGTCCCTGCTTGAGCATGGGTATACCCTTGCAGAGGAGGATAGGGTGCCTTTACTTTTGCCAGAGCTTTGCAACGCAGGGAAGGTACAATCTTTTCGTATACCTTTAAAGCAGATCCATTAGAGCTAGAAGACCGATCAGTTGAAAGGAGTTATTATTATCTAAAAATGTAATCTATGCAGGACCACTATAAGTATGTATCATCCAGGGCAAGGGCAAGGGCATCTGAGGCTTCGGCTCGAGAAGCTTGCTTGGTTGGTTGGTGCTCTGCTCAGCTCAGCTGACGTCGCAAAATGGCAAGAAGCCTCTCTGCCGTCCACTCTCGCTCTCTCTCTCTCTCTCTCTCGCTCTCCCTCTCCCTCTCTGTCTAGCTGAAATGGCAAGAGCAAACAGGAAATGAACCCGCATGCACTTTTTTAAGTACCTTTCGTTCGAATTCGCTGGCCGATTGCATCGGCTATGGGCGGGAGCTACCGGCCAGAGCTTGGTCTTGGGCTCAAGTATATTTTGTCGTCTTGTGTTTCTTGGTTTGTTTTTATCAATACCGTGTGTTCCGTTTAGGGTTCCACTGGGGTATACACAATGTTTACCCGCAATCGAATGGTCTTTTCAGAGTGGAGCCTTCGGGGGGAAATTTGATACTGTCCTCGTTGCGGTGGATATTCAATAGTCTTACATAAATAGTCGAAACCTTTCAGCTAAAATCTATAGGGTGTTGCCCATGATGGGTATCACCTAATCGAATCCTCGACAAAAGCATACATGTTGTTGTATTTTGTTGTTGTTAATTTGCAAGCATTTTCAGACCATTTCATTCCACTTGGGCGTAGGTAGGCCCAATGTTTGTGCACAAGTATGTGTGAGCCAGTATGTGACAAAGCAACCTGTTCGTGGCCAAGGGAATGAGTCAGCTGGGAGGGGTGGGGGGCCACACTCCAAGTAGCGCCCCGCTTCCCGATGAACGATACAAGACTCAAGTGTTTGCTGAGGACAGCCATGTGTCTGTCTTCCCTTTTGACCTGCCCTCCAGCGTTTATCCATCGACGGTTTTGATTATTTTTATGCCCTTAGCAATGTCTCATATTACCCGGAGAATGAAGCTGTCTCTCCACTTGCCTCTCTCCTGCCTTCCTTCTTTTTTCACTCTCCTTGATGTTTGTTCCTTTCCTGTGTTTTCCGTCTTCCCATGGGGTCTCTTGAAATGTGTGTTCAATGGGCGATTTCCTTCATGTGAATCTTTAAATGATACAATTTAAATAGTAATTTAGTAATAGTAATAGGTATTTACTCTCCATCTGTGCCCTGTGACATATTTATAATTCCACGAAACTGACTTTAGTCCAGTCGTTCCATTCTCTCTATTCCAAACTGCACGAAAACTATGAGATAATTCCGATGTAGTAGTGGTTCTGTTTATCTATAAATTCGTATTAAAAATCGTTTCAATTGCTGCCATTACTATATTTTCAAAGAACATCTGCATACGACCTTGAATTAATCTTGGCCCTTGGCATAATTATAGTCTATGGCTTTGGTCTGGCAAATACGTATAGTATTTCGAGTGTGGCTGCCTAGTACTGGTACTAACAGTACAGTGGGCTGTGGGCAGGGTGGATTGCGGCAGGTGGCGTGACTAATACATTCCGCCATGGCAAAGTGAGTTTTCGAAAATTTGAAACAAATTTCAGTTGGCCTCTTCTCGTCTCCATGCGCCTAACAATAATGGCCGAGTTGTTGTAGCTGCTAACGAGAGCTGCACAGTCTTTTATTTTGTTGTTTTATTTCTGCACACATGCTCACTTTTATGGTTTCGGCATTTAAAACTATGGCGCAAAATTCAAACACTAAAACGTAATTGAAAAAGCATGAGAGATGCCGCTACAGGTAGTTGCTTGGATGGCGGGGAGGGGAGGCTGGGCTGTGCTGGGCTGGGCTTGGCTATGGGTACCGACCACCACCTTAGCCAAACTCGAAGTCGAAGTCAGTCGCGCACTAAATCCCAATGGTAACGCAACCATTAATCACAACACAGGAGCCGGGGTAAGGGGAGCTTATTTCGCTTATTTGAGCCGAGTTAATAGAGGAAAAGTGGTAAGCGCCGCAGAAAACACAATTGGCTTGGAAAAAGTTCCTTCCAGAAATACAAAGTACATACATTTGTACATGTATGCATCTCATGGGTCCATCTATGAGGTGCAGGATCACACATCCATCCTCACGAGGCTGGGGGTGTGGACTCCTCTGCAGTCGCGGCCCTCCTCCATTCAAACCATTATTTTTAAAAGTAGTGGGGGTGTGGGGATAGAGGAATACTTATATTATATGTACATATAGTCCACAAAACTTCACACATATCATTCGTCATTGTACCGAATCTTGTTTCGTAGATAGCCGTAGTATTCATAGATGACAAATATCGATATGGCCGTCACACCTGCAACAAAACTATCGCTAATATCAAGAGTTGGAGGCCCAATGTTCTCTTACATAGCATTGCCGAAACGAAGAGTATCAATGAAAGCGCTCTATCGGTCGCCATGTAGACCGACGCGGACAGCCATTTCCTTTCCAAATGGAAGATCATGAAGAAAATAAGTTCCAGGCACCGGGAGATCAGGATCGTCAATAGCCACAGAAGCAACGCCAATGGAATGTTCTTGATGGCTCCAATTAATCCCATGATCGAGCCAGCCGTTGTCACAAAATCAGAGATGGCCATTATAAGAGTAACTATGGGGTACTCCGTATCTGTGGGTATTCGAGGGTCTGATCAGTCTGCCGTCGCACTGTGTGGAAGGGGCCCGAACCTACCCGCCTGAACTAGGTACGAGGCGGTAAATATGGTCCCAATGATCCAGCCGATGGCAATGATTACGCAACTCACTCGCAGGCATTTCGCATTTAGAGCCATTTTCCAAAAGGAAAACTCACAAACATCTTTAAGACAGGCAACGCTGTGATATAGCGATTTGAATATACATTTAATGACAAATTCAGACCCTTTAGACGTACGCCTAGGTGGTAGGTAGGGGTACCACCTCAGAAGTGTTCATTGTACGAGTATTATTGTACTTCGATCCGTTTTGGCCAGCTCATTAGCCATTCGCGGCGCAAGCCACGTAACAGTAACAAGGCATAAAAGGCTAAACAAAAATACATAAATACATATCAAGTATTCCATATTCACACCACTCACGATGGTCTATCAGGTTGCATGCACGCGATTCAAATCAATTGCCACAATGACACACATACAAATTGTTATGCTGCCAACAAGCCAACGTATGTATGTATGGGTGTATCTGAGTATCGTCTAGTGCCTAAACCAGAACAATGACGAGCCTGTAAAGACCTTCACGGTGGCAAACAGAAACAGAAACCTAGCCAAGAAAACAGATGACGAGACGTCTGTGCAATAACACTAGGTAGGAAAGGGGAGGCTCCCGGCACCGAAGTTTTGCATACCCTAGAACGTAGAATCTTTCAATGTCTGCCCAAAGTTCCTGAAAAAAATAGAATAGATGGGTCTCTGCCTCTGCCTATGGAAGAAGTCTTAAGGCCCTTTGCAAGGGTATAACAATAGCAATAACACTCTACACACATTAACGTCATTCAGTGGGGTGGGGGGAGAGCGGGGAGCACGTGCTTTGCATGTCCAATTACAAAATATGTAGCAAGAACCTGCTCGCAAAGACATAACTTACAAGTTTCCATCGGAATCAACAGGTTCCCTCGAGTGATGATTGCAGGGGGAGCGGAGGGGAGTTCGTGGGAGTGGAGGTGGGAGAGTGTTTCTCTTTTAACCGTTCTTTCTTCTGCATAATTACAAGGTTTCGAACTCGGATTCGGACGAATAAAATCAAATATTCAATCGACACAATGGCCCACATTTGACCTCTATTTTTGCCTCTTTGCTTTGTTGGGTTTCGGCTGCTTTACTTCTATTTGGGTTAATGTTGAAAAATTGTCGTCTTCTCATTCACTCTCCTCTCTCCTCTCTCCACTCCACTCTCCTCTCTCCAACTTTCATTAGGGCAAAGAAATGAAGAAAAGCGAAAAACCTTCTACTGGCCGCTCTAATCTTTTGCACTCCCAACGCGAACTTCTTCGCCAAGATCATGTCCGGCTCCGGCCCTGGCTCTGGCTCTGGGTCCGGGAGGAGTGACAGATGGAGGCCCAGTGCTTGCCATTTCACTTTTTATACTCCGCAGAAGGTTAAAACGATTAGCCATTAATGTTGGCCAATCTTTCTGATGCTTTTCTTTTATAATTTGTGCGAGTATCAACTGTTTTTTGCTCGCCTTCTTTTTCATTTGGGACAAAGTCATTATGTTCAGTCGGAAAGATATCAAATGGGTGTATATCTACTCGTAGTACTACGTGAATACTAGAGCGCCAAACGGATGCACAGAAGGAAGTTGGAGATGATCCATCCTCAGGATGGAAATTTCCCTGAAATTTCTTGTCATACAAAACACTTTCGAATTCTCTGTTTGAGACCACAACTAATGACCTCTTAGCTCTTTAATAAATTATAATAGATAAAATACTAATTGGATTCCAAGATCCCCCCAAAACAAAACCAAGCTCTTAGTGGCTTTCTTCATAAAAGATTCATTCACTTTCCCTTTTTCGACCTTATCAGCTACGGACGTGCAGGAAACGGTCAAGTGGAGAGACGACCTTTGAATGGTGTGGCAAGAATTCATTGACCCACAGCCGATAAGACCTCGTGGATGTTCCCTCAGTCATTTATCGCGCACGGACAGCATCCGGACGGGACCACGCCCTTTGATAGAACAATACATTCAAGAGTGAAATGAGATCCCATCGTCATTGAACGACAGAGAGAGAGAGAATCATTTCAGAAGTAATTTCATCGGATTTCACGCTCCGGCGGCTCTGATTAGACGCTCGATCCGATCATTGCAACAATTAAATCCAATGAAATTTAATTTCGCAATTGAATTTCATTTTCAGCATGCTTGCAAATTGCTCAAGCGTTCGGGCTCAGGAATTCGCTGTGTTTTCAGTCCGTTTCCCCCTCTGTTCCCCCCCTCTGTTCCACTCTGTGTTCCCCCCTTTTTGCGGCTTCTGTTTTCTGATTTTTCACTGGCTTTTCATTGATTGGGATTGGGTTTTCCATGCGTATGCAAAAACAGCTGCCCATCGACGAAAAGTTGCCAGAAAGAGGTTGGATTTCAAATCCAAACGAATCAATCAATAGTTTTAGATCATTTTTTAGCTGAGATTACGGGAGGATACATTAGATGACTGACCCACCGCAATGGCCAATGAATTGGCAATGTTCCGAGCCTCCGTCGAGGTCAGTGCACTCTGGCATTGATTTCATAACAGGTTCCTGCGGCAGGAACCCTTCGGGAGCCGACAAATTTGTGGATTCGGCTCGGGCTTCCGCTACTCTTGTTCATGCCCCATTGACTTTGGACTGGCTCTGGCCCGATCGACCGTGAGCTGGCTCAGACTCGTTTCATTGTCGATTGGGCAGGCCTTGCGATATTCTATTTGATGGCTCATCGGTTATTCGGTCCCGGCTGTGGATCGTGGCCCCAGGCCCCGACGAGCACCGATGATGCTCCTTTGTTCTCTTTATGAGTATGTGCGGTCCAGGTGAATGACTAACGGCCAGCAAAACTATGACTAACTGGTCTTAGCGATTGGGTTGCCTCCAGAGCTCCGCTCTGCCTACTTTCCAGTACCTGGATCAAGGATAAACCATCGATAAGCTCTTGAGTACTCAACAAACGGCTCTCGAATGGGATCGTTCCAGCCCCAAGATCGTGTTTGCAGCACAATCAGAGCATATTAAGTGTGGCAAGAGTGAGTGAGGGGCCACATGATTCGTAATATTTTTTTGTTTTCGGCTGCAGAGAATATAAATTAACGCAACAATTAACAGAAACGAGTTCTTGTTTCGTGCGAGTAGAGTAAGTGAAATGAGATGGGGAATCTTGCCTCTCTCCGTTTTATTGAACAGCTCTTCAGCCATTTGTGCCGGACGGACCCCCGCTGAAGTGGCAAGGGAAGGGGCAAGGGGACCCAAACTCAGCCAAGCGCAAGATGGAAAGAAAGAGGCAGACAGAGACTGAGAGACGGAGTGGAGGAGTGGGGGAGAAGTAGAAAATGTTAATTTTGTGCCCATCCCCCACCCCCCATCGATGATGATGACTTTGTCGATATTTTGGAACGAAACTTGAAAGTCTTCTGGGGAGCACACTTGAGGCAGCACAGACCAGACCCATTCGGATGAAAGCCTCCGCTGAGGGACTCCCAGAACTGCCTATTAAACGAATCCAGACACTTTGAAGTACGAAACAAATAAACGGCCGTATTTGTAGATATCTTTCCTCGCCCAGATACTCGGATTATTATTATTTTTAAGGCTTAAGGCTGAAGGCTTTTGTGAGTGGTTCGAGTCTGGCTCTCATGTTGTGGTCGTGTGGTTTTCCACAGTTTTTCAGTTTTACTTTTCCACCTGTCTTGGCATTGGAGTCTCGCCTTACCCCACACTGAAGTGAATTCTGTCCGCTCACAGCCTATCACAGTCTCCCCCACAACATTGCGAGTGCGAGTGCGGGTATGTGACAAATTCTCCATAAATACATTTGGCCGCCGGACGGGAGTTCAGTAACCCAGCGTCTGAACTGACCCACATACGAATCTGGCAAAAATAGAGTGCGAAAGTGAGCAGCAGCTGGAAAAAGGAAAATCACACTTTTCCACACTCAATCGAGGAGTGTGTGATGCGGAGCTCATTAGCGGGTGCTGACTGTGACATCTATACCGAAAATATCTATAGAATGGCTTCCAATGGATATATTGTGGGGAGAGACTTCAATCGTGGGTGTCCTTCCACAGAGTCGCATGAAATCATCATCTACTTATTCACGACAATTATTTACATAGCTTTTCCTTTCGTTTGGGGCTAAGGGGGAAGTGTTCGTTGATTATTTCTTTCCCTAATGCTTGGAATATTCCCTGGCATCGTCCCCAGTCTGGAATTCGACTCACTTGCGTTCTCGTTTCTAGGTTTTTTTTTGGCTCAAATTGGGAGAAAACAAAGCAAACTGAACCGAAATGAAATACGAAATTCAATTAAGTTTTATGGATACAGATGGGAGATACAAAACGAATTTGAGTGCATAAAATTAATAACAAGAGCCGCCGAAACCCGTTCAGAATCCAAGTTCGGATCGAGCTCCGGAGCTCCGAGTCGCGTCTGTTAATTTATTCATGGACTCATCGCTCGCCGCATTGTTCGATTTCCGAAAACAAACTTTTACTTTCCATCATTGTTTTGGAGCCATTGTGAGTGCTCTCGAAGAGATCTTCTCTTCTCCCCCTGCAATTAATCTTCGGATAGCCCACAGGCCCATCTTCCCTAGGGCCCTACGGCCGTACGGCCCTACGGCCCTACGATCGTGTGTGTGGGCAGGTGAAAGTTTTCCGTCCGTTCTAAGCCACTGGGCCTGGGGCCTTTCCGATCCCCATTTGCATAAACATCTCCACCTGCAGTGGACAGCTGTTGCTGTTGCACACTCGATGCCTGGAAGTGCGTAGAAATCAGATCAACATTAATTTTCCAGCCCAGCTTTTATTTACCTCTTCAGCGGTGGATCATCACGATAAGAGTCTTGGTCTTCCCGGTACCGAATGGGTTTTCCATGGCATCAAAACAACAACAATCTACAAGTTTCAGTGCTTTGAAACAGATTTCGCTGTATATAGATCAAATGTACTTTATGGCAATTTTAGTCCCATCTGGAGCAGGGAATACTTGCCCTCCATTGCACTTGCTTAGGCCTTATCCAAGTGCATTTCTTTTTCCTCCACTCACAGGCTGGTTGCAGGCGAGTCTCCCTTTCATGAGTAGAGTCCCCA